CACCCTCCACCCTCCACCCACCTTCCAATACATAGGGAGTCCTCGAGGTACAAACCTAATGGAACCTGCCCATTAGGTTTGTAGGTCAAAAAATTCGTCAAATGAATCAGATTCAATTTGACAATTTTTTAAAATCAGATTCATTAATTAAATCAAATGGATGGTTAAATGAACGAAGATCGGACTTACTATTTCCTTTGCTTAGTTAATTGATCTCTGCCTAAATGGAGAGCCCTTCTGGCTGCTGCTGACCACCGATCAGTTGTTTGCTTCGGCTCAGGAACTAAATGCCTGCAAACAGGCTGCACCTTCTTTTGCAAAGATTTTTGCAGTTGCCACTAATTAGCTTAAGTCTCCAGCCAGGCACTCAGAGGGAGATGGGGGAGGGGTTTATGGAACTGTTTGCAACAATAACAGAGATGGAAGGGACCTTGGGATCAACTAGTCCACGGATGTCAAACTTGCTGCATCACGTGACATGTCATGACGTATCGCAACTTTTTTTGCATTGCCAGAGCTGGGGTGGGCATGGCCTCTGTATGATGCAACTGATGTGTGGCCCAGTCTAACTGATGCATGGGCCAGTCTAGTCTAACCAATTACTCTATAATACCCAACATTCTTCTTTAAAATAATGGAAATTGCAATCCTTCAGAAATGCAGTAATTGATTTGGGGGCTCAGCTTTGGCATTTGGTGTCTACCCATAATCAACCTTAAATCTGAATGTAAGTTTTTCTAGGATAACCATGTCAGTTTCAAAGAAAGGTCTGGAAATTAGATTACAATAGTTTTAGGAACAGTTAGGGAGTGGGGTGTTAGCATAGTAATGCTAATAGCTATCTATCCATAAGCGTCAGTAGATAAGAGTGGTTTACACATTCAAGACAATATAATGGAAAATGGCTGGCTCAGGAATTCTGGGAGTTGAAGTCCACGAGCCATAAAAGAGCCAAGGTTGCCTACTCCTGGGATAGGCATTTAACCAGAAATACAGTAACTTTTTCATGGAATTGTTAAATACTGTTAGGGCAAGGAGGACATGATTAAATCCTAAAACTAAAGATTAATGTATAGTTGCACTTTCCTTATCCAGCTCCTGATGTAGATGATCAATCCAGTTGACCTCCATTATCTCTGTCTAATAATAAGCCTTGAGATGGACCTCAATATTATTCGTCCAAGAATTCACAAGGCTGCTGCAGTGAATATTTCTCCAACAAGGATGTCTCTAGATATAAATATGCATGCAACTGAATCAGGGAGAGGTTAATACACTTTCATCTGATAGGTTTTACTTCCTCCAAAAACCATGCCCTATAGGTCACTTCATTTCTTCTAAAGTTCTGGATTAAAATAATCCACCTCCTTCAACTCACCCCATAGTTTGGGAACTTTATTATTTTTCTCTCTTTTCTGGTGAACCATCTGAATTCTTCAGTCCCTTTCTGTGGTGCCATCAGGATAGGATATACAGGTAGGTTAGAAGTCTAGGAGCCCCTTAATCAGAATAGATAAAGGATTCTTTCTACTCGCCCCCCCACCCCACCCCAATGCAGCAAGAACTGACTTGTCTTGATTTTGAATGCACTGAAGTAAAATACATTACTATGTAAACAGAAAGTCCCTCTGAAACTATTACTCCTATTGGCTAATTGTGGCATGGATCATGATCCCATCATACCTGTGCAGAGAGTATGAATCTTCTTTCTCAGCTCTTGTGAGATAGCTTTAGATGACTTTGTTTCATGATTTCTTATACTATTTTATGAAGTTCTCCACCCTCCCTTATTCCACCATCATCTCCCTGAGAAGCTGATGTAATTCTCACTACTTCTTGAAGAAGACCCTCATGGGAACAACTATAGTTTGTTTCTTTAAATGGTTAGGTGTTTCTTCTTCCACAGAGACCTCTCTCTCTCTCTCTCTCTCTCTCTCTCTCTCTCTCTCTCTCTCTCTCTCTCTCTCTCTCTCTCTCTCTCTCTCTCTCTCTCTCATTAAGGAGATTCTGGAGGGTAGGAGGGAAAAATATATAAGATGTTTTAGATTTTAATCCATAAATGAAAATTCTTGCATGCCTTTAAATAAATATTAATAACTTTGCCATTTCTTCCTAAATAAATAAAAAAAGAAATGTATGTTGCATTTCTTCATTTTGCATTGCTATAGAAGCCTCTAATGCTTAAGGTTAAGGTTAGGATTGTCAGTTACCTTGAATATTCCTATCCATCTGTAATAGCACATTTGGGATTATATATGTCTGTTAATGTAGGCTAACTTCAGCTATTCTTAGCTACACTGTAGAGCAGTGGTGTCAAACTGCTGGCCCATGGGCCAGATGCGTCATGAGGAAACCGCGCCCACCCCATTGCTGGCAATGGGGAAAAAGTTCCGATGCGTCACATGATGTCACGTGATCTCGCACATTTGTCATGTCTGTTGTAGAGGAAGGAAAGCCTTCACTGCTTACTTTGCTCTCTAATAGCTTGTATACTCACTTTAGTTGTAGGATAGCTACTAAAGGCAGAATGGCTACTATCTTTGCCTAGCATATACAAGGCTGAAATTTGAAACCAAGGAAATTAAAATAATTTTTAATTTGTTGAGTTAACTAGTCCAGGTGTGTCTTTGTGTGTGTGCCCGTGCACATGCATATTATTATACTTCTCAATAAACCCCCCAAAATAGGAAGGTTACTTTTTATGTATGTGTAAAAATCTATTAGAATGCTAATAAAGGAGGCAAGATTCTTTTAAAAATTTTAAGATTTGAATTACCAAAATTGCATCTTGATTGATAGTGCTGCTCTAGTTCATTTTTAATAGCTTAATTGTTTTTCTATTACCTCGATCTTGATACCCATTATTTTAGACAGAAATATAGAAAGTGAATTGAAGACCAAATATGCTTTCAGTTAGTTTCCTATTAAACAAAATCATGGGTTCCTTACTATTTTTTTAAAAAAAAATCTCTCCAAGTGAAATAATCACTATCAATTTAACAAAACAAATAGGTATTTGTAGAGGTGAGAGACAGGCAAAGGTCGTGTGCAGAACACTGCCCCTCCAAAGCCTGTGTGCCCCTCCTCTCTGCATCTATCTCATTCCTTCACATCACCATGGCGATGTGAAAGTACGCAGGTCTGTGTGACCTTGCCAGATTGATAAGAACTAGCACGCAAACAACAAGATGTGATTGCCAACTATTCCCTGTTTATGGCCTCTGCACTTTTTACTCTTGAGGATTGGTAAGGAGTTTAGCCAATGAAATGCTATTGTCATGTAGAATTTTTGCTGCTTGTAATACTGTATAAAAGGCAATAAAATGCTGCGTGCCAGCGGCCATTTCTTTGCACTCTTCAATGACTAAGCACTGATTACTACAGGTATTCTCAAATGAATAGCATCCAGTATAGATTATCTGTCCATATCTGTCTGTTTGCCTCTGCCTCTATAGATGCACAATTATGTTTCCAAGTTTAGGAAACAGAGTATTAATAAAGGATATTAATTTTTCTCACATTGAATGATCTCTATAACGCATTGATTGTATCTCAGGAAACTAATATAGCAGGTGCAACTTTGAGAGAGGAGTGAATGAAACAAATAGATCAGTGGCAACTTGCTCATGCTGAATCTTTTGGATTCTACACTCGATGTATTGAGGATGGCAGACAATCCTTCCCTCCCTCCATTCCTTCCCCCCTCCCTCACATTCCAGGCACATCAGTTGGTGTAACATTAACACTTGGGAAGATTCACCAACATGCAATGAAGGATTCATTTGTAAGCACCTTAAAAAGAATGCAGCTATTGATAGAATTCTGCTGATATTTGAAAGGAACAATCTTATGAGAATAATTTTCTTTTCTTTTTAAAATAACTTTCTTGGTACATTAGAGCAAAGTGGTGTAATAATCTATCATATTTCAGCAAAGCCTTTGACAAAGTAGGACATTCTTATCAGCAAAATAGTTAAATATAGGATGGATAACTAATTTAAAAACCATTCTCAAGATGTTCTTCAAGTTTGCTTTAATAGCCAGATATCTTAATTAGACCTGTAGACTTTAAGGAGTATGTATTTAATGTTTAATCTGGTCCCTTCCAGATGTGATACTCATAATTTATAGGCATTGAAGCCCATCACATACAGAAAACATCAAATTGGGAAAGTCCATAACTGTTTCCACCAAAAATACTATACTTGCTTTACTAATATGGCAACTTTTGTTCACACAGGTATCAATGGGAATGGAAAAGACCAGAGGAAGTGCTCTCATTTTCCCCTCTTTTCATGTGGATAACAGTTTGTGTCTGCTGTGACCACAAATAAAGATGGAAGAAGCAAATCAGGGCAATATACTGTTATGTAAATGGAATCTAATTTGGGTAGACTTCCTAGAATCCTTTCTAGAGGGATTTTGGCAAGACCTATTGCTTGATTACAGAGCAGTATAATACTCTACCCACACCCTCTAGTTCAGGGGTCTTCAAACTCGGCTTTTTTATGAATCATGAACTTCAACTCTCAGAATTCCTCAGTCAGGCACACTGGCTGAGGAATTCTGGGAGTTGAAGTCCATGAGTCATAAAAGGGCCGAGTTTGAAGACCCCTGCTCTGGTTGGATTCTACTTTCAACTATTGGTTAAAAAATAAGTGCTTCTACTGCTTTTCCTCCTGGTAGCAGATCCTGATATGATTGGATATTTAGATAAGGTTCCAAGTCATTCAAGATTTTAACTCCAACAATTTCAGTTCATTCCTATGTGTAGCCAGGATAGCAAACTTTAGCTCAGGATGCTAATTGCTGCTCCCATGAACTCTTGCCATGAGCTATATTTATTTATGTAAACTGAAGCTGAAATTTCCATTATTTTCAAGACACTGGGGTATCTTCCTGTCCTATACCCATGCTTGCTAAGAACTAGGGAAGTGTGGAGGGCGTTTTGTTAAGGTGGGCTGCTCCTATTACAGATCTACTGTGTGATCACTGAAGAATAAATGTTTAATAATAAACCAGGCTGAAAAACGAACACCCCCTCGTGTAGCAGATTCAAAAGATTAGATAAGAACAAGGAGAACATGTAGTCCAGAAATTATTATTATTATTTTGCTTCTTTTCTTCCTTGTCTGACTAGTGTGACCAAGGCTTCCTTTGGCCTCAACTGTCTTTAGAAAGGCTGCCAACACTTGGCTCTTTCCACAGGCCTTTGGGCCATGCTGTGCTGGAGCTCCAGTTGGATGATGCTGTTATTGTTGTTCAGATCACCATTTTCTTATTTTCCTATTTTATTATTATTTGTAGGTATATGTACTGAGATTTGTATTCTTCTTGTTAGGTTTTTTTTTGTGCTTTTGGGGGTGGCTAAGCTACCCAATGTCACCTTGGCTGAATTGGGCAAACATATAAATGTTTTAAATAAGTAAATAACTGAAGTTCATTGTGCAAAACGTCTCAGGATGATACCTTGGAGCGTGGAAATGGCAGAGCAGAAACAATTACTGCACAAATATGGGAAATATTAGGGCTGTATGTCTTGGGTGCTTAATTTCCTTCTGAATAGCTTCCTCAAGGCCTCCTTCATCCTGTCAGTCCTCAGAGTGTAGATGAAAGGGTTGAGCATAGGAGTGACCATGGTGTACATGATGGCAGCCAGCGTGTCTTTCTTAGGTGAGAAACTGGATGAGGGTTGGAAGTACACCCAGATGATAGTGCCATAGAATAAGGAAACCACTGTCAGGTGGGACCCACAGGTGGAAAAAGTCTTCTTCTTTCCATTAGCTGAAGGGACCCTCAGTACAGCCACCAGGATGCGTGCATAGGAAAGGCCAACCACCATCAGAGCTCCATTGACAATGAAAGCACCTTCTGAGTGTACCACCAGAGTGTTTAGAGCTGTGTTGGAGCAAGCAATTTTGAGCAGTGGAAAGACATCACAAAAAAAGTGGGGAACGTGGTTGGAGGCACAGAAAGAGAGGCGGGACATCAGGAGTGTATGTAGGAGGGAATGGAGGTGAGAGGCCAGCCAAGAAGCTGCCACCAACAGCTGGCATACGTGTCTTCTCATCATGGTGACATAGTGCAGGGGTCGACAGATGGCCACGTAGCGATCCAATGCCATGGAGGCCAGGAGAAAGCTGTCAGTGACGCCAAAAGCGATAAAGAAGTACATTTGAGACAAACACCCACCATATGAGATCCTCCTCTTTCCAGAGAATTCACCAGCCAACATTTTGGGCACTGTGGTTGATGTGAAACATATATCTACCAGTGACAGATTGCTAAGGAAGTAGTACATTGGAGTATGACGGAGATGACGGTCTAGTCGTATGGCCAAAACAATGATAAGATTTCCCAACATTGTGATGACATACATGATCAAGAAAATGGCAAAGAGCAACATGTCACATTCTCGTTGGCTTGAGATGTCAAGGAGGATGAAGTCTAATATGATGGTTCTGTTATCTGTCTCCATCCTGTTGGAAGGTGAGGACGGAAGACAAAATAAAATAAAAGGAACAAGATTAAGTAAAGACACCATAAACACACACTTGATTTTCCTTGTTTGCCTCTGTCCAGGTTTCTTGGCTGCGCTCTGAAAATGGTTTGTTATTACTTTATATCTTTTTTCAACCTCCCACTCAAAGTCTGATTTTTTTCATCTAAGCCCTTTTGCATATTGTCATACATTCCTTTTCTGTTTTTCCGATACCATTTATTTATTAATTTGGACACTTCTCATTTTGTCAAAATTCCCAATGCAGTTTGTGTCACATATAATTACACATAGTAAAATTACACATAATAAAACCTATAATAATAACAACAGTAACAACAACAACAACAACAACAATAATAATAGTGATAGGCTCCTTGGGTGCAATCCCAAAACAACTGGAGCACCACTTGAACACCACTGGCATTGACAAATTCGCTATTAGTCAATTACAAAAGGCGGCCTTACTAGGAACTGCTTCCATCCTGTGACGATATCTGTAATACCATCAAACATCCACATCTGCCTATCCCAGGTCCTGGGTAAGGACTCAATGAGTAGACAAAATGCCAAATCCAGTCTGAACATCTGGCTGACTGTGCGAGGATCCATAATAATAATAATAATAAAAGTTGGAAGGAAACTTGAGGTCATCTAGTCCAACCCCCTGCTCAGGCAGGAAACCCTATACCATTTCAGACAAATGGCTGTGCAGTCTCTTCTTAAAGACTTCCAGCGTTGGAGCATTCACAGCTTCTGGAGGCAGGTTATTCCATTGATTAATTGTTCTAACTATAAATATGTTACTAAGCATGTTCTGTTCTCTCAAGATTTTTTTTTTAAAATATGCAAATATTTGCCTCCCGTGTGTGGAAAAAGGCATATTCCTTCATAACCAGAAACTCTTATTTTCTTATTATTGGAAATGGAGGGATTGATTAAAAAAGACTCTTATTTTATCAGTATATGACTCACATATATACCAACTCCTTCAAGAATATTAGATGTTATGCATATTTTTAATAATAATAATAATAAAATTGGAAGGTACCTTGGAAGTCATCTAGTCCAACCCCCTGTTCAGGCAGGAAACCCTATGCCATTTCAGACAAATGGCTGTGCAGTCTCTTCTTACAGACTTCCAGTGTTGGAGCATTCACAGCTTCTGGAGGCAGGTTGTTCCACTGATTAATTGTTCTACCTATCAGGAAGTTTCTCCTTAGTTTTAGGTTGACTCCCTCTTCTTTGTGGCAACCCCTGAGATATTGGAAAACAGCTATCCTGTCACCCCTGGTCTTTCTCTTCATTAAACTAGACATGCCCAATTCCAGCAACCGTTCCTTGTAAGTTTTAGCCTCCAGTCCACTAATCATCTTTGTTGCTCTTCTCTGTATATTTTTTCTAGAGTCTCAACATCTTTTTACATTCTGGTGACCAAACTTGGATGCAGTATTCCAAGTGTGGCCTTACCAAGGCATTGTAAAGTGGTATTAATACTTCATGTGATCTTGATTCTATCCCTCTGTTAATGCAGCCTAGCACTGTTGGCTTTTTTGGCAACTGCAGCACACTGCTGGCTCATATTTAAGTGATTGTCCACTAGGACTCCAAGATCCCTCTCACAGTTATTACTATTCAGCAAGGTACCTCCTGAACTATACCTGTGCATTTGGTTTTTCTTGCCTAAATGTAGAACCTTACTTTTTTCACCATTGAATTTCATTTTGTTAGATGGTGCCCAATGTTCAAGTCTGTCAAAATCCTTCTGTATCTTAAGCCTGTCTTCTGAAGTGTTGGTTATTCCTGCCAGCTTTTGTGTCGTCTGCAAATTTGATGAGTTCCCCATCTATCCCCTCATCCAAATCATTGATGAAGATGTTGAAGAGTACTGGGCCCAGAACAGAGCCCTGGAGCACCCCACTACTCACCTCCCTCCATATAGATGCAGTTCCATTGAGGACTACAAGCTGAGTACGGCCGGTCAGCCAGTTACAAATCCGTCTCATGGTGATGCTGAATAACCCATATTTTTCTATGTTATCAAGTAGTAGATTGTTTATCAAATGCCTTACTGAAGTCCAAATAAATTATATCTACAGCATTCCTCTGGTCCACTGATTTTGTCACTTGGTCAAAGAACACGATAAGATTTGTCTGGCATGATCTGTTTTTGACAAACCCATGTTGGCTTTTGGTAATGAGTTTGTTTGCCTCTAGGTGTTTGCTGATTCGTTGCTTGATTATTTTTTCCACAATCTTCCCAGGTATTGAGGTCAGGCTGATAGGTCTGTAATTTCCTGGATCCATTTTTTTTTCCTTTTTTGAAGATGGAAACTACATCAGCTCTTTTCCAGTCCTCCAGTAGTTCCCCAGTGCTCCAGGATCTTTGAAAGATATAGTTCAGTGGTTCTGAGATCACATCTGCCAGTTTCTTGAGAACCTTAGGGTGTAATCCATCTGGCCCTGGTGATTTGAACTCGTCTAGGCTGGACAGGTGCTCACTTACCATTTTCCTGCCTATCTTAACTTGTATTTTTTTATCCCCCCCACCATTACATGTAAGGAGCTTTGATCCTTCTGAAATATAATCAATGATGGAAAATTAAGGGCAAAGGAAATATATTTACAATTACTATTCCCCTTTCTGCTGCTATTTCAGGTGATATAGTAGTTGTGGTAACTGTTCCTTTCCCAGGATACCACACAGCAAACTTAGATGGTTTGAAGGAACCGAAGGAACGGAGGAGGGAAGAATGGAAGAGATAAATAATGGCTGACGAAATTCACTGGTAAGGTTCAAGGATGTGGAGAAACTAGAAATCTGAACATGTAAAGCCTGAGAAGCAGCAGGATCATGAAAGAAGCTAGTCTATCTTTCATTCACAGCCAACACAAACACTAAGTACGTACCAATATCTATAAAGGGAAAAAAGGAGGCTGGCAGGCAGACAAGCAGACTGCTAAAGTCTTTCCACTTGGGCTGATCTGGATCCAAATAAGAAATCAATCTAAGAATCAAAAGAATCAATTATCAATTGCAGGTAAAACAACAATGAGCATATTTTTGGTAACTGAGTTCTGTTTTTAACGTTTCTGCATGTGGTGGAAGTTTAGATAAAAAGCTTTAATATTTCATGATGGCGCTAGAGATATTAAACTGCATTAATTAATCAATTAATTAAATTGTATTTATGCAAAATATATTCTGTGTCTTTCTATGGCTTATTTTTAAAATATATTTTGAATTAAGGTGAATATTTAAAATTCATTCTGAATCAATTATTTTCATTGAAACCGGAGCACTGACTTGAGGAAATGGCAGGTATTCTTTTTTTTATTTATTTAAATTTTTATTTTTAACCAACAAGACAAAACAGAACAAAGCAAAACATAACACACATATACATACAATATATATACTCCTCCTTTTTTTTACAGCAATTACGTAATGGTAATCTAATATTTACATTTCCCCCTTATTCTTCTTTAGAATATTTGTCCTTACAGCCCCGTTATTTCTTATTTACATTTTTCTTCCTTCATGTTCTACTTCTTACTAAGAATAATTCATATTATTATTATACATTATTATACACATATTTTCACTTTTGACCTTTCCATATTTATTCTCCTCTATTATTTCTAGTCTCCAACCAGACATACAACTTGTTCCATACTATATAATACTCTGTGTCTTCCTTTTCTTTTATCTCTTTTGTTAATTTGTCCATCTCAGCACAATCCAGGATTTTTCTTATTACTTCTTCCTCTGATGGTATATTCTCATTTTTCCAGCACTGTGCATATGCTATTCTTGCTGCCGTTATTATATGTATTTCTTTACTATATTTCTTTACTATATTTTCTATCTAAAATATCCAACAAAAAGATCTCTGGTTTCCAGTCTACGGGTTGGTCTATTATTTCTTGGATCCATATTTCTTTACTATATTTTCTATTTAAAATATCCAACAAAAAGATCTCTGCTTTCCAGTCTACGGGTTGGTCTATTATTTCTTGGATCCATTTTCTTATTGTAGACCAGTATTTTTTTGCAACTGGGCATGTCCACCATAGATGATAATATGTTCCATATACTTTTTTACATTTCCAGCATGTTGGTGAATTATTCTGGAACATCTTGGCAAGCTTTGCTGGTGGAAGATGCCATCTGTAAAACATCTTCAACTGGTTTTCCTTGAATGCCGCCGACATACTCAATTTTATATTTATTTCCCATATTTTTTCCCATTCCTCCAATTCTATATTATATCCAAAATTTTTTGCCCATCTAATCATTGTGTCTTTGACAACCTCGTCTTCCATTTTATATCTCAATAGGTATTTGTATAAATTGCTAATTAATTTTATTTCTGTTCCATGTATAATTTTATCCAATTCTTGCAGCTCTTTTTGGATTTCATATAATTTTTTGTGCTCTGTATATTTAGATTGAATATGTGTAAATGTCCACCAATCAATCTCTCTACCAATGTCTTGTTCCAATTCTTGTTTTGTTTTCAGATTTCCCTGTTCATTTACTAATTCCTGGTATCTAATTATCTTATTTATATCCAATAGGTTTGGGTATTTCAGAGCTTCTGTTGGGGATAACCACATTGGAATTCTTATATAATGTTTTTGTTTTATTTTTTCCCAAGTCTGTAGCAATGCATTCCTAACTATGTGTCTTTGAAAATATCTGTGTATTTTATGTTTTTCGTCCCATAGGTATGCATGCCACCCAGAAATGGCAGGTATTCTTATCAATATTAAATCTGGGACATCTGCCATCTGCTTCCTTCCATACAAATGGAACAATAAGCAGATACAAGGGTAATTTGTAGCAATAATGAAAATAAAACTGTTATCTCTCAATCCGTCATTAGCACTCCTTGAGGAACACCACTGATAACATTGGCCAGGATTGGGTGACTCTGAATTTATTAGGGGGAGTAGAGGACGCTAGAGGTGAGATTAAGTATTGAAATATTATATTAAATATTTTGTATCCTAAATACAGTGCTCTAGGCACGAACACTTTTTGTACTCAAAAATTAGATTGAATAAAACCGGCTCTAATCAGCAACATTGGATATATAATATTCTGCTATTTTAACTCAGTGATATTAAACCCAGCCTTCTATATGCTTAAACATTAGCTTGAATGTAATTCTGTCAACCCATCTTACCAGTCCTTAAACAACAGCATCAACAATAAAATGGGCAAGCAGTGGGTGGTTCTGAATCTATTGGATACACATATAATCCTCCATTGGAATTCAGAAATATTAAACCCCAGCCTTCCAGATGCCTAACCCTGATATGAGTTTTTCTCAATTTCTTAAATAAGAAGCAAGCATTTCCTTGATGGATTTTGCATCATATCTGTTTCATTAGTCAATAATAAATAAGTCCTATGGCCTCTCCCACTTACCTGAGATCATTGGTAGATGATGAAATGAAGTCTTGAAAGATGCAAAAAATATGGCCAGTCCGTTCAAGTCATATTTTCCCCTTTTGTTTAAGGTTGAACATTAAAGAGGAATATTCTGTGTTCTCAGAAATCAATTTAGGTCCTATCATGGTTTTTATTTTCAACAGCTCTATTAATATATGCAGGAAAATGTCCCCAAGAGTGCTGTTAGTGAAGGAGACAGAGTTCAAAACATTAGGATCTCTTTTGAACTGTGGCTCCTATACCACAAGGGAATCAGAAGATGTTTCTGTTGAACTGGCTCCTTAAGCCCCAGTGAATGAAAGACACCAATGCTTCTAAAATTTCCCTGTGTTTCTCCAAATCATTTAGGAATGGTTGAACCTAGAGGTAGAATTAGCAAGCAAAATGAATGCTTGAAGTAGTAACCTGAGGAATACATGGCCATGATATTTATCATCATCTAAGAGGTCTTTCTCCCACCCCTGGCAATGATTTGAAATGTGTTCTCCCCACAATCCTTCTTTATCATTTCTCCTCCATGGATCAGAGATGCTGCCGCCCAGGGCTTTTTTTGTCATAGAACGCCCAGAAAGAGTTCCGGCACCTTTTTTGGATGGAACCTTGTAGGGTAGGCAAGGCGGGTTATATGACATGTGTGAGTTCCGGCACCTTTTTTTTTGTTGTTTTTTTTACAAAAAAAGCACTGCTGCTACCTAACACCCGGAAATGCCAGACAGTTTTAGGGCAGAAATCTGCCATCTTTCCTCTTCCAATCCATCATCTAATGTGAGAAAATGATCTACCAGTCACTCCCCTGAAGGAGCTGCAGGGCAGGATTGGGGACTGCTGTTTCCTGTCTCTTTATCCTCAGTTAGTTGGAATATTTTGTATTTGGGGTATTTTGGGAAAGGTGGGAATAGTTCAAGGTCAAAAGAGATGCAGTGAAGCATTTCACTGAGCTGTCTGGTGGCTTCATCAGCCTTTATTTTTTATTTTCATGCTGAGTTGCCTTAACTTGGCCTATCCTGCTTTCCTACCTACCCCTTCAACCCACCTACCCAGCTCCCAATTCCTCCTTCAACAGTCTGGTGTCTTCACTTATGAACCAATTCCAATCTTGCTGCTGTCAGGCCTCTATGGCCTTGCAGCCAGAGGTTCATTCTCAATTTTTCTATATATAAACATTAAAAAAAATTAGGGAACCACAAAGCCAGGAGGGAGCAGTGCTGTAGTGGCCTGTTGATGCTCAACACAACCCAGTCTCTGAGAGTTCCCCGTCCAAGCCTCTGGAATGTCCACATGGGGGTTCTTTTCCAGCACAGGGGGAGGCAACCATGCTTTCAACCTAGAACCCTTCAATCAGGCTTCACCTGTCTTATCAACAGACTGGTGATGAGATTGAGACCACATTTTGAAGACAGACCCTTGAGAAACCATTAAAAGGGCACCTTGATACTCCACGTGGGGCATATGTATGAACCAGTTGAGCAACAATGTATTTATAATAATTATATGATGATGATGATCATGATGATGATCATGATGATGATCATGATGATGATGATTGAATGAATGAATGAATGAATGAATGAATGAATGAATGATCAATGCAAGGCATCTGCAAGATGTAGTAATCGAAGTCAAGGAGCAGAGGTAAAAATGGGAATAAAAATAAATATAAAAAAGACTAAATTAATGACAACAGGTAGAACAACCAGCCTTAGAACTGGACAGGATGATACTAAAGTTGTGGATAGATTCTGCCTTTTAAGATTAATGATCAGTTGTAAAAAACATAAGTAGTCAAGAAATACACCCCAGGTTAGCATTTGGTGCAGCAACCAAGCTTTGAAAAATGTATTCCAATCCCATGGCATCTCTATGCCTACAAAAATCAGAATTGTGCACATTACAAGTGGAGGTTGGAGGGGGTGTTCCTGGCTCCTTTTAATGAGGCTGTGGTGTGCCCCCTCTTCAAGAAGTCGTCGCCGGACCCCATTGTTCTGGGCAATTCTCCTCTAGTCTGAGAAAGCAGTGATGCTGCAACTTCAGAGGGTCCTGGAGGAAATGGATTGTCTAAATCCTTTTCAGTTGATTTCAGGCCTGGTTATGGTCAAGCATTGGTCATACTTGTGGATGACCTCTGAGGGAAGTGGGATGGAGGTGGTATATCCATCCTTGCTCTTCCTGACCTCTCAGCAGTTTTCCACTCCATCAACCATAGTATCCTTTTGGGTCAATTTAGGGAGTTTGCGGTGGGTGGCACAGTTCCATGCTGGCTCCCCTCCATCCTCTGAGGCCAGTCCCAATAAAGGTTGACTGAGAGGTCTGGTTCATGGTTCCTGCTTTGTGGTGTGCCGCTCGGTACTCTCTCCGCTCCTTTTTTAACATCTACATGAAACCACCCAAGTGAGATCATCAATCATGGGACAAGGTATCATTGGTATGCGGATGATAACCAGTTATATATCTCCTTTACACTGACTTTTAACTCATCCTTGTCTTTAAATTTTATATAGCATTTTTATTGTTTGATTTTATCTATGCATCACCCAGGGTTCCTCTATGAGGGAAATGGATAGTTTGAAAAATTTGATAAATATTTTTAAAAAAACAAAACAAAAAACTCTTCTATGTTGTGGGGTGGATTTCCCATCCATGAGGTGAGGCCTCCAATACAGTAGTCCTCAAGTTACGATCACATTTGAGCCCGACACTTCTGCTACTGAGACAGTTGTTAAGTAAGTTTTAAGCAAATCAATGCAGTTAAGTTAGTTACACGGTTGTTAAGTGAATCTGGCTTCCTCATTGACTTTGCTTCTCAGAAGACCGCAAAAGGGGATCACAGGACCCCTGGACACTGCAACCGTCATAAATATGAGTCAGTTGCCAAGCATCTGAATTCTGATCAGGTGACCATGGGGATGTTGCAATGCTCATAAGTGTGAAAAATGGTCATAAATCACTTTTTTCAGTGCCGTTGTAACTTCAAACAGTCACTAAATGAACTGTTGTAAGTTGAGGACTACCTGTACTCTGTCAGGAAGACCAGAACTGTTCCCTCCTAGTAGAAGAGGTATCTTATTCTCTTTAGGAGTGACAAGAGGGAGGTTCCAGATGCACTAGTGTTAAGGTAACCAGATCCAGACATCAAAAATCCCAAACGTCACTAAACGGCATCAACGAAATAAAGAAAAACAATGGTATTTCCATATATGGGGCTTTGCAGCCCATTGAGGGAAGGCCTAATGTGAAAGACCTCATCCCTGTTTGCCACCAGTAGTAGTCTTTTTACAAAGGTTATGCAGACAACCCAAATCATTTTGGTTGAGTTGCACTGCTCTGGAAGTAACCTGATCTGTCTTATGTCATGAAAAACAACAACAACAACAAAACCTCACAACCATAGACTCCTATTATCATTTTAGATTGTCAGATAATGAGATAATATGTCTAATAGGAAACAATGATCTCACAACCTTTTTACTCAGACGCTGAAAATTAGTACACAGCATATTAAAAACAGGAGATTTATCTGGTTAGATATTGGCAGGTCTGCATATTTTGAACCAAAACAAAAGCCAAATCTTGATTGTATCTAGTATTGTATCTAGATGGTCCTGCTTTTCTGTAGATGAAAAAGGAATATATTGAGGGAGGGCACGTGTACATACAAAAATGGTACCAAAATGTATGCACTTCAAGGTAAAGATTAATCTTTCTTTTAAAAAAATAGAAGTACAGAAACAGTATGGAGTAAACCATATATGAATGCAAATACAGGGACAGAAATCAAAATCAAGTGTTTTTCTCTTCTATAACCATGATTGAAGGCAAAAGACTTATGTTTTTTTCATCTTCTAGGTCATCAAAGAGAAAATGATTATACATTTTCTTGAAGGCCTTCAATTCATTAAAGATGTCCCAAAGAAGTGATACAACAGGATGGACTGAAGATAATAACTCCTAAAACAGTGTGCTGAATGCTTCTTATATTCGGAAATGCATCTAATTAAAGCCCTTATCCAGAACCATGGAAATCAAATTTGCAACCCAAAGTCCACTCTGAGACATTTTTCCCTTTGCAGTTTCTTTGCCAATCGTCCCTAAAAGTCAAAATAAGAATATTATGTATCTTAGAATATTGGACGTGCTTAGCAATAATATTGAGTGATACAAGGATGACATTAATATGAGATGTGTACTCACCAAGCATTCATTTTTTGCCTGCTCTTCACAATTTTCTTAGCACAGGCAATATCATCATTGAGATCGTCATTTATGAAAGCTGAGGAAAAAATATTAATAATGAAGGCTTTCTTAAAAGGGATCTTTAAAAATTGAAATCATGTGTGAGATATTTCTCAGGGTTGGATACATATATTTAAATTAATTTCCCTAATTTGGATATTGTTTCAGAAAGCAGGCTTCAACTCAATGGCAATTTAATGATGAGGTCATTCTCCTATGAGGTGAATTTTCTTTGCTTAAAGCAGCGGTTCTCAACCTATGGGTCGCGACCCCATTTGGGGTCGATCGACCATTTTTCGGGGGTCGCCAAAGAAGGCGATCCTCCATTTTCTCCCCTCAGGGGGCGCGCCGCACATGTGCGCCATGCATGGGGGCGACGCCGCGCATGCGCGCCGCGCATGGGGGCAACGGCGCACATGCGTGCTGTGCATGGGGGCGCCACCACGCATGCGCGCCATGCATGGGGGCACCGCACATGCGTGCCGTGCATGGGGTGCACCGCGCATGCGCATCGTGCATGGGGTGCCCCCGCACATGCGCGCAGCGCAGCGCATGCACAGAACATTTGTGTGACGGGGGTCGCCGTCACATAAACGTTGAGAACCACTGGCTTAAAGGATGCGGCCTTTTGGGAAGACCTGAATAACAGTCTGAAAATCTTCCCCTCTTTGCATTCTGCCAGGGCTTAAAAGGTTTGTAGTGCACTGGCAGCTGTTTTTTGCAGAGATCCGAGATTGTACACCCACAGGTTTTTGACACCTTACTAAGCCCTGGTGGTATTTGAATACTGTCATGTCCTAAAAGTGGTACAATCTGTGGAAAGGTTGAAAAGCCATGCTCTAGAACCGGGTTTTTCAACCTTTTCACAGATTGTACCACTTAGATTCATTTGTTGTTACAGAAATGGCTAGTTTATAATATTATGAAAAAGTAAAAAGTTGAGGCTTAGTGTTAATGCTTCCTTCTTACTGCAATAGTGAAAGTCAGAAGTCAATGCCTTTTCTTTTCTTTTTCCTTTCTTCCCCTCACTTTTTCCTTTTTCTCTCACCCTTTGCTCGCAAAAGCCTCTCTCTCTCTCTCTCTCTCTCTCTCTCTCTCTCTCTCTCTCTCTCTCTCTCTCTCTCTCTCTCTCTCTCTCTCTCATTCACTCACACTTTGCTCGCAAAAGCTTCTCTCTCTCTCTCATTCACTCATCCTTTGCTTGCAAAGGCCATTCCCTCACTCTCTCCTCACCACTTTGCTTGCAAAAGCCTCTTCTCTCTCTTTCTCATTTTTTTCCCCTCTTCCTCTCCTGCTCCTTTTATAGCTTCTCCTCTCTCCACCCTCCTCCTTCTTTCCTCTTCTGGGTGTGCCAGAAGCTCCAAGCAATATGTAGCTGCACGCACAGATCCTGGGGCTTCTGGCAAGCCCTGCAGCTCCAGCTGATCTCCTCCAGGCCTGTGCAGCACTGCTTTAGTTTGTTCCCTCTCCTGCTACATTTGGCTAGGGGTCACATACCACCTGCCGGGTGCTAAAGTACCACTGGTAGTACGCGTACCATCAGTTGAAAAGCCCTGTTCTAGAGAAGTGGGGAGTTAGGTAATGGAGGGTCTTGATATAGATAGTTGGCCTGGCCTGGCCTGGCCTTGCCTTACTTACCTAGTATTTACTATTATTTGCTTTTGCTATTATTCAGTTACAGAAGTAAAAACTGGAGTGCATTAGATGATTTTTTTTACTAATTTATTTCCCCATTTGTTACACTCATATCCTTTCGTTTCTGAGTATGTATGTTCAGAGGGCAGGGATGTGCATAGTAATTTAGGGAGCAGGAGGTGCTCATTTGGGGAGCAGCTAGACAGATGAAAGAGAAAAGGCATACAGGGAAAAAGAACCAGAACGTCTCTGTAAATATAAGGTGATCCTTCTTCTTTAGGACATCTTGTAAATGTTTCCCAACTTAGCCTCATGCTAAGTGGCTACTTACCATTGCAGGACATTTTGCAGAGATTAGCTGAATATCCCTGTTTATTGTCACACCACCAGTGATTGTCTATCTGGAAAATTCCAAAGAATTGAATCTTTCTGTTCTTTCGTGAGGTTACCGATTTGCTGTTGAATCCATTCCCGTGATGAACCAGGCAGATCCCTAGATTAAAGAAAGAGAGACTCCAGTAGCAGTTGGCAGGAAGATGATGCTAATGAGGGGAAAAGTTACCCTTTGCTTCTTTTGTTAATCGAATATTTTGAAGGATAATGATTTATCCATCACAATCTTTCATGGTTTTCATGAAAGGAAGGAAAGGAAAGGAGTCCCTGCGGATATTACTTCACTAATTGTAATCAGCTATATGGGACAGTGCTCATCTCTGTTTCAAGGACCACTGAGCTAGCTCTGTCCAAAAATGTTTCTGTGGTCATGTGGCCAGCAAAACATCTCGGAGAGCTGTTTCCTCCTCGTTGAAGTGGTACCTATTTATCTACTCACATTTGCATGCTTTTGAACTGCTAAGTGGGAAGGAGCTAGGGAATCACGATAGCTCACCCAGTCGTGCAACGCTTGGGTCTCGAACCTGGGCTGTTGGCTTTCCAGCCAATAAGCCCAACATCTTAACCACTCATCCATTGTACTGCTTCATTGAGTGGGCAGTTGTGCTATCAGATACATTTTGGAAAACAACTTCCATCTTTGAAAGAATTCAAAATATTGTCATCTCAAAGGCATTCTTCATGTTTTTGTATAGCTTTTAATACATTCCCTCTGAGGTTCTTGCCTTTTACATAGATTTGATATATCTTACTGCAGACCATTGCGAATGGATAGGATCTGTAAGCACATGGAAAAAGCAATGTCCCAGCTTAAGTACACCTGAAACTGCAGCCACTGAAGCAGGCCGAGATAAAGCAATGTCAGAAAAAGGGACAGGAAGGCTTGGAACTGCAGGTCTTGGATGATCCAGCCATGGCAGCCAGGCCATTGATGGTTTGGAATGGAAGGAGCCCTGGGAGGAAGTCTGGCTGTGCTAAATGATCCAATACTTGAGGAGTCCAGAGAAGGCTCAGCAGCAGATGCAGGGAGAGTGTGAGGCCAGAGAGGCCAGGGCCACAAAGACCTATGAAAAAGACCCTACATCAGAGAAGAGCTGCCAGCTGCTATGTTGGCTGATGCTGGCTGCATTATTTTCTAGGGAGAGCAGGCAATGAACCAGACTTGAGGATCCTTTGGAGAGATTATTGTTGAGCCAGCAGCAGGAGCAGGAGCAGCTTCCTTTCTTTAAATAGGACAAATAAATAATAATAATAATAACAACAACAACAACCACCACCACCACCTCTTGGCAAGAGTGATGGTTCACATTGGAGCCTGAGATGTATAGTGCAATCCTTTTCCACTTTATTGGATGAAATTTCTGTTTCGTTAAATGAATAACACCCCACCACCACCACGACTGCTATTGGCCCCCGAAACAAAGAGTATCAGAAAGAACAGGAGAAAGAAAAGCAAACTCACAGTCATCCAAGGGGATGCCACGGTATCCATCCAGTCCATGCAATTTCAGAATAGAAGCAAGATGACATCGGTCAAATATTTTGGCTTCCGTGCCAGCAGTGAAGAAAAATAGAAGGCTGAGGGTCAAGGCCTTCATTGTTGCAGCTTTCCTGAAGATCAGCCTTCCTTGAAGTACCCAGAATTTTTTCGGGTAGCGAGAGATCTGGCAGCTTGGCCCAAATGATTCAAAGAAAATAGACCTGTTAAAGAAATTGCCAATAAAGCTTGTTACTTCACAGAAACAGCATAGGTTAACAAGTTCTGTATCAACTTTACCTTCTTTTAAACCACTGAGAGTCTCGGGAGCGTCCCTTTCACTCTTCCTCGCTCATTTTTTCCTTTTTTTTTTTTTTTTTGCATTCCATGGAATTGTTGCCACCTTTTTCTTCTTTAAAGACAATAGTCTAGTAACTGGGGCTATATGAAGGTAATTCCCAGATGACTCTTAGATTATTAAATATTAACTCTTTAACAAAAATTGCCTTGGACAAGGAGAACAAGTTATTCTCCTTGTCATCCAGAAAGAAAATTACAAGAACAGGCTGTTCTCCCTGTAGCAACTCAGAAGGAGTTCTTGTTTCCTCCTCAATCCAGTCTTCCCCATATGTCTCCTGCCATTTAGAATATTATTATGATCTGATTATTTGACTAGAATAACGACAAATAGTTAGGTCCTTTGACATTGTTGGCACACACTAATACACAAAAGGTATTGTTCTCCTTTGTGCTAATGCAATACACCTGTCTTTTTCTACTGAAAGGCATAATAAATTATTCCTTGACTTCCCATACTGCACTATATCATGGTTTGTTTCAACTATGTGTGATTGACTAAGCATCAATTGACTAGACAATGTGGATCTCTATCCTGCCTTTTGTACATCATACTATCTAGTTGTGTATAAAATACAATATATCTATACATTTATATCAAAGTATAACTCCTCAGCAATCATTCTTCTGACAGCTTAGCCAAGATAAGAAGGGAGCGCATAAAAGAAGGGAAAGAGGCTGTAGAGTCTTATCAATATATCTTTAGAAATAGGATCATTGGGACTGGCATAGCAGTGCATCTTTCTTTTTCTTTTAAAAGATGGGATATAATGATACAGAACTGCAGCTTTCTAAATCTCTAATACACAGCCCTGATAAGTAAAAACTCCTGCTGATTAAGAATTCAGATTTTATGAGAAGAATTCAGTCCCAGGCATGATATGATTGCCATAGTTCTTTCTTGCAGATCTTTCTAAAAGGTAGGACTGAGAGTATGCAAACACTGCAAAACTGTAAATGGACAGAGATCATCAGAGAAAACCTGGGCCAAGGGTTGATGGTGACAATTATTCTGGTTAAGTCGCCAACTTATGAAGAGAGATCATCCAAGTATTTTCAGGATTTGAAAGAATCAGAGAAGAAGAAGAAGAAGAAGAAGAAGAAGAAGAAGAAGAAGAAGAAGAAGAAGAAGAAGAAGAAGAAGAAGAAGAAGAAGAAGAAGAAGAAGAAGAAGAAGAAGAAGAAGAAGAAGAAGAAGAAGAAGAAGAAGAAGAAGAAGAAGAAACGAAGAAGAAGAAGAAGAAGAAGAAGAAGAAGAAGGAAAATCAAAAATTGGTCAGCACCAGGTGAAGATGAACTGCATGGGTTTTGGTTGAAACATCTAACTGTTATACACCCAATCATTGCCAAGCAGTTCAACAATATACTACAAGGAGGAGAAATTGAAAAGTGGCTAACAACTGGGAAAACCTACCTAATAATGAAAAATCCAGCAAAAGGGGCAACACCAGGCAACTACAGGCCAATTACCTGCTTACCAACAACTTTCAAATTACTAACTGGTGTGGTAGCTGATGCAGTACAACAGCATCTAGTTGAAAACAATCTCTTTCCACCTGAGCAGAAAGGAAACCGCCCCAATAGCAGAGGAACAAAAGATCAACTCCTAATAGACAAAATGATCTTGGAAAACTGCAAGAGAAGGAAGACCAACCTGAATGTGGCATGGATTGACTACAAAAAGGCATTTGACTCTCTGCCACATGATTGGATAATAAAGTGCCTAGAAATAACAGGAGTCAGTAGAAACATCAGAAAATTTGTGCAAAGATCGATGGCACAATGGAAGACACAGTTGCAGATCAATGGTGAGAGACTGGGAGAGGTTAATATCAAGAGAGGAATATTTCAAGGAGATTCATTGTCACCATTACTATTTGTTATTGCACTGTTTCCTCTGTCAACAATACTGAATAACTCAGGACATGGCTATCAAACATCAAAAACATCTACCAGACTATCCCATCTCCTTTACATGGATGATCTGAAGCTGTATGGAAAAACGTCATCTGAAATAGAATCACTGCTCAACACTGTCTGTATATATAGCCAAGATATTGTTATGGAGTTTGGCTTGGACAAATGTGCCACACTTACTGTCAAACAAGGAAAAGTAGTAAAAACTGAAGGAATCAAGATGTCCCATGAAAATAACATTAAGAGTCTGGATGAGGAAGATTACTACAAATACTTGGGTATCCTTCAAGCTGACAACATCAAGCACACTGAAGTCAAGAAAAAGATTAGAGGTGAATACATCAAGAGAATGAAGAAGATCTTGAAGTCCAAACTCAATGGAGGAAATACCATAAAGGCAATCAACACCTGGGCAATCCCAGTAATTAGGTACACAGCTGGAATAGTGGACTGGACTCAAGCAGAACTAAAAGCAATGGATAGGAAGACCAGAAAAATAATGACAATGAATCATGCCCTTCATCCACGCAGTGACATTGACATACTTTATCTACCAAGGCAAATAGGTGGGTGTGGAATGCTACAAGTACATCAGATGGTTGAAGAAGAAAAAATGGCTTTGGAAGAATATCTGAAGAACAATGATGAAGATGCACTGAAATTAGTATATCAGGAAGGCTTACTGACTACTGGAGAGACCAAACTGGCCTATAAGAAAGACCAAATGAAGAACAGAATAGAGGCATGGGAAAACAAAGCACTACATGGCCAATACATTAAAAAAATAGCTGGGGAAGCAGATAATAACAAGATCTGGCAATGACTAAGAGCAGGAAAATTGAAGAAAGAGACCGAGGGACTAATTCTGGCTGCACAAGACCAAGCCTTAAGGACAAATGCATATAAACTCAAAATTGAGAAGACAGCAACAGATAGTAAGTGCCACCTATGCAAAGAAGCTGAAGAAACAGTAGACCACCTGGTAAGCTGTTGCAAGAAGATTGCACAGACTGACTACAAGCAGTGGCATGATAAAGTAGCAACAATGGTGCATTGGAAGATCTGCAAAAAATATCATTTGCCTGTAAGCAAAAAATGGTGGGATCATAAAATAGAGAAAGTCATAGAAAATGATAAAATTAAACTGCTCTGGGACTTCAGAATTCAAACAGACAAGCACCGGCAACATAACACCCCAGACTTAACAATTGTCGATAAGAAAGACAAAAAAGTCTGGATAGTGGACGTGGCAGTGCCTGGAGATAGCAGAATAGAAGAGAAAGAACTGGAGAAGATAACAGAATACAAAGACCTACAAATAGAAATAGAAAGACTGTGGCAAAAGCAAGCAAGGGTAGTACCAATAGTCATAGGCTCCTTGGGCGCAATCCCAAAACAAATGGAGCACCACTTGAACACCATTGGCATTGACAAATTTGCTATTAGTCAATTGCAAAAGGCGGCCTTATTAGGAACTGCTTCCATCCTGCGACGATACCTGTAATACCATCAAACATCCACATCTGCCTATCCCAGGTCCTGGGTAAGGACTCGATAGGTAGACAAAATGCCAAATCCAGTCTGAATATCTGGCTGACTGTGAGATGATCCATAATAAAGTTGGAAGGGACCTTGGAGGTCATCTAGTCCAACCCCCTGCTCAGGCAGGAAATACTACACCATTTTGGACAAATGGCTGTCCAGTTTCTTCTTAAAAACTTCCAGTGTTGGCGCATTAACTGCTTTTGGAGGCAGGTTGTTCCACTGGTTAATTGTGCTAACTGTCAGGAAGTTTCTCCTTAGTTCTAGGTTGCTTCTCTCCTTGCTTAGTTTCCACCCATTGCTTCGTGTCCTGCCTTCAGGCGCTTTGGAAAATAGCTTGACTCCCTCTTCTATGTGGCAGCCCCTGAGATATTGGAACACTGCTATCATGTCCCCCCTCATCCTTCTCTTCGTTAAACTAGACATACCCAATTCCAGCAACTGTTCCTTATATGTTTTAGCCTCCAGTCCCCTAATCATCTTTGTTGCTCTTCTCTGTACTCTTTCTAGAGTCTCAACATCTTTGAATTACTATTGTTCAACCCAGTCAGGAAAATGAAGCGGTTAATGTATAATCTAAGAGTTGTTTTGGGACTACAGGCTTCTCCAACCCCAGCCCATTTGTTGGAGCACCAATTTAAAAGAAGAAAATCTAGTGCAAGAATTGCATGGACATAGAGTCAAGTGGGAAGACATTGGGAAAGAACTCAGGTAGAGTCATATAATCATAGTGTTGTTCCAGGGACCCTGGAAGTCTTCTAGTCCAACCCCTGCCCAAGGAACGGGCCCTCATAACTTCTTGGGCAAATGGTTGTCCAATTTTTTCTTGAAAATCTCCGGTAATGGTGCACCCACAGCCTGAGGCAAGCTGTTTATACTGCTTAATATTTCACACTGTTGGGAAATTCCTACTTGCTCTCAGGTTGGATCTCTCTCTCTGGCAAGCTTCCACCCGTGGCTTCCTGATATGCTTGCAGCTACTATGGAGAATAAATCCTGACAGTGTGAACTATTAAGCAGTAAAACTGCTGGAGGTCCTTCTCCATCTCTCCCATCCAGCAGATGAAGGACAGTCTTACAAGGAAAAGAGGCTTTTCAGTGGTGGCACCGTATTTGTAGAAGACACTCTTTGGAGAAGCTTGACTGGTGCCTACAGTAGTATTATTTTTGTGACAGATAAGGAATGTTTTATATTCACAGACTTTTTAATTCTATGGCAATCATATTTAATTCAGAATGTTTTGGAGTTTGATGGCAACATTGTTGCTACCTAGTTTCTATAGTATTGTTTTTTTGTGTATTTTATTGGATAAGTTTTAATTTGAATTATATTATTTCTTTTTTGGTAGGTTTATTGTAAACACTTAAAAAGCTTCAGCTATTCAATGGTTGAAAATTTAATGAAATCATATCAAAATATTAAACCTGGATCTCCCCGGTTGGTTCCTTCCCAGATACCTCTCTAGATGTGAGTTTGGAGGAGGATGAACCAATCCCTGGCACATCAGGAGGGGAGTTGGTCAATGGCTCCGAGCAGCCAGCTGAGAGGGATTTGGCTGAAGCACAGCTGCAGCAGGACAACCCTGAGGTATCAGGTGGGGAAAGCATACAGCTGTAACCAGCCAATGATGAGGAAGAGAAGATGTTTCTATTGTCACATATCACTTATACATGACTGTAGGTCAGTGGTTCTCAACCTTTTTAATGCCGCGACCCCCAACCGGTCGTAAGTTGAGGACTACTCAACCGGTTGTAAGTCGAGGACTACTCAACTGGTGCAGCACCGTTTGCAGAATGGGACTTTTGGCGGGCTCAGCAGGGCAGAGACAGCCTGGACAATTCCTATTGGCTTTTGAAAGCCAATAGAATTAGACTCTATTCAAGAGAGTCTATTCTATTGGCTTTCAAAAGCCAATAGAATAAAAGGGAGTAGCACAGCTAAGGAAAAGGGGGAAAAAATGGCGGACTGCGTTGTTTGGCGACTCCCGTGAAATGGTTGTTCGACCCCAAATGGGGTCCCGACCCACAGGTTGAGAACCACTGCTGTAGGTGGAGATTTGGATGGAGTGCAACTTTTTTTTTTCTTATATTTCTTGAAAACATTAAAATGATGTCTTCAAACCTTTAACATTTGACTTTTTTAAAAAAATTGCTGACTATATCTCCTCTCCTCCCTATCCCTTTCACCATGTGTGAATGATCTCTAAGGTGGTTAAGGATTTATGACATAGTTTATTTGAAAATAGATCACTAGATTCAGTAACCAGTTGCCTCACTTTAACTTGCCAAAGCTACATGCAATACTGTCTGCATTTTGTGATATGCTTCTCACAATTACCAGCATTCAGAAATTTTTGATAGGGGCAAATACCTTTCTCTAGAACTGCACACTCAGGCATCATATAAGACTGAAAAATAATGGTGCATCTTGATAGAAATTCTTAGTAGGAATAGCAACAAGAGTGAATTGGCATGGAGACAGCCTCAGGCAATACTCAGCATGTGGTCCTCAGTGGAACTGCATTTACACAGAGGGAAATGTGTAGTGGGGTGCCCCAGGGCTCTGTTCTGCGCCCAGTGCTCTTCAACATCTTCATCAATGATTTGGATGAGGGGATAGATGGGGAACTCAACAAATTTGCAGACAACACCAAGCTGACAGGAATAGCCAATATTCCAGAAGACAGGCTTAAGATACAGGAGGACCTGGACAGACTTGAACATTGGGCGCTATCTAACAAAATGAAATTCAATGGTGAAAAAAGTAAGGTTCTACATTTAGGCAAGAAAAACCAAATGCACAGGTATAGTATAGGCGGTACCTTGCTCAATAGTAGTAACTGTGAGAGGGATCTTGGAGTCCTAGTGGGCAATCACTTAAATATGAGCCAGCAGTGTGCTGCGGCTGCCAAAAAAGCCAACACAGTGCTAGGCTGCATTAAGAGAGGGATAGAATCAAGATCACGCGAAGTGTTAATACACTTTACAATGCCTTGCTAAGGTCACACTTGGAATACTGCATCCAGTTTTGGTCACCGCGATGTAAAAAAGATGTTGAGACTCTAGAAAGAGTATAGAGAAGAGCAACAAAGATGATTAGGGGACTGGAGACTAAAACATATAAGGAACAGTTGCTGGAATTGGGAATGTCTAGTATAATGAAGAGAAGGTGACATAATAATAATGTTCCAATATCTCAATATCTCAAAGAAGAGGGAGTCAAGCTATTCTCCAAAGCCCCTGAAGGCAGGACAAGAAGCAACGGATGGGAACTAATCAAGGAGAGAAGCAGCCTAGAACTAAGGAGAAATTTCCTGACAGTTAGAACACTTAATCAGTGGAACAAACTGCCTCCAGAAGCTGTGAATGCTCCACACTGGAAGTTTTAAAGAAGAGATTGGACAGCCATTTGTCTGAAATGATATAGGGTTTCCTGCCTGAGCAGGGGGTTGGACTAGATGACCTCCAAGATACCTTCCAACATTATTATTATTATTAAATGAGAATCAAGCAAAAAAATGAAAAAGCTGCTAATGAATTTAGTTGCTAAAATAACTTTTAATGAGAACTACTTACTTCTATAATTAATCATGTAGGATTTTTAATGACAACAGAAATCCTTTGGGAGTGAGGCTCTGAGACATTAAGCAAGACCAATTAGCACAGTGATTTATTTATCGTCCTTTGAGGGAAGATAAAATCACATGGACATTTTTTGAAAAAAATGGAAATAATGTTTGAATATGTAAAAATACCTACCATTGTCTGTGCAATCAGGTACGATCAAAATTGTAAGAATCAGAGCAAACTATAGAAAACAAATTACAGAGGGAAAATTTGTTTGAAACTTAAGAAATATGTATTCAGGCCTACTGAAAACATTTTTTACCAGCCCTTGGGATTATTCTTCTCTCTTTTGCATCTTTGAAGAGGCAGTCTTTCTTATTTCTCATTCAGGAAGTATATAATCTTCTGAAGTGGTGTCTGCTTTGTTACACACACATGTATAAATGTAAAAGAGGTCTGCTTTTCATTCAAATAATTACTTTTTGTAACATGCCAATATTCTAATCATTGCAAACCTCAAAGTTAATGGGCAGAGATGGTTGCTGATTTGAAGAAGTCATATTCTCCAGCCATGCATTCCAATTCACGGCTAGCTGTATGCTCAAACGTTTATTTACTCTTGATTTTTCATCTATAATAGCTCCCCCAAATTTAGTGGTATCCAGCCTGGTTGGGTGTGATGGGAGTTGAACACATCAGGAGTGCTCCAGTTTGAGAGAGGTTGTGATAAGATCTTGCAGTTGAAGGAAGGTGCTCTGGGGAGCCAATTAGGAAACAGTTTGGTCACAATCGCTATCTATCTGAACCATTGTGTGTAGTTGTGTTTTGATGTACTTTGGAGAGATTTAACTTTTTTTACAAAGAGTAAAATAAACATGTTTGCTATCTCATGTTTCCAGCCCCAAAGTGAGTCTTGAGCAATTAATGTTTATCTGTTTGAGCTCTGGGGAAGATACCCTGGGGGGATTTATGGCAATGGTAAACATAACACCCCACCCCCCCAGAATTACATTTCTATCTTTAACATCCCATTTCTGTCTATCACTTGGTACAGAAACCCATCCAGTTTTGTATTCTTTTCTGCTGGGTTTGTTCCTCTTTGGTGAAACTACCTTTGGAGATCTTAATTCAGATGAGCAGAGTAAGCTAACCTTTATGATACTTATTGAGTAGTTTGCCAACTTGGCAGCTGAGTTTCTAAACCCGTAAAGAGTCGTTGGTATCAGAAGCCATTGAAAGAGGAAGATCACAAATGTTAGAAATAAGGGAATGATTGAGAGTGAAATAAACTCCACACCTTGATGGTGCTACATTTTGCTTTGATCTGCATAGACAGGCAAAAAGGATACAGACAAGCTACAAAAAGATGGAAAATAAGGGGATAAATTATTTTGTTTTCTACTTTGAAACATGGAAAAGGATAAATTGGTAGATAAATGCATTCTTTTATCAATACGATGCCACAGGTGAATAAGGAAAAACACCTGGTACACTAGATTTGGACAAAAGAGAAAACACTGGGGAAAAAGTAAGGAACAACAATTGGATTATTTTATTTATTTAATTTTTAAAGCCTCCCAACAGACAAAACTCTCTGGATGATTTGCAATTAAATAGATTAAAAGATAAATTTGAATAAAGACATATACTTCATTATCGAATCAAATCGAATGAAAAATGAAAGCACCAGACAGACTAAGCATTGGAAAGGTAGGCTTTCAAAATCTAAAACAACGTGAATAAAAATACTGGTAAAAAGTCAATTAGAAACCTTGGGATGAGACAGAAAATCTGTGACCTCCAGATTAGTTGGCCTTCAAATCCTAGTTTTCCCAACTGAGGTGAACAATAGACAGGGGTAAGTAGAAGTTGTAATCCAACTACATTTGGAGAACTATAGGCTCTCCACTGCTGAAACAAAGGGCTTATGGAAGGATTTAATAAAGAAGAAGGAAGAGAAGGGGAGAGGATATGAGGGAACACAAGGGGAGGCAAAGGGAGGACCAAGCAGAGAAAGTAAGAGAAAAACAACCTAATATTTTTTAGATCTACAATTGCCATGTTGACCAGGACCGATGGAGCTATACTGCAAAGCAGCAGGTCTAAGGTTGATACCAGTGGTGGGGTTCAAATATGTGAACAACCAGTTCTCTGTGTGGATGCTGCTTCTAGAAGTCCATTCTGGGCCTGGGCAACAAAAAATTAGCTACCAGTTCTACCCAGCTGGTGCGAACTGGCTGAATCCCACCACTAGTTGATACTTATAGCATAGTCATCACTTTGCCAACCTCCAGTATAAATCCTTCAGTTATTCCTTCTTCTCCAATTACTAATTCTAATTAGCATAAAGAAAGCACTTCCGATAATATCAACATTTGTAAAATACTCAGTTATATTTTGCCCAACATTTTCAGCAAATTATCTTGATCCAGAACAGAATTTGGGTCTACAGACTATAAATCCAGCTTCTGGTCTATATGGAAGCTATAATGAAGTAAAAGGATATATTTTACTACGGTGTCCCCTTCTAGTTTCAGATGGACTAATATTGAAGTACTTAATGTGTTTGCTTTACCCTAAAGTTGAAAAAATGTAGTTGTATCCTATTTTATATTTGATCTGTTGCTCTAGATGTTTTTTAAGGCTTGCCTAGTGTTCTATACTAGTAACTATATGGGAGTATATACTCCTATATAAATGCAGAATAAATTGTTTTGCTTGACTTTTCCTGATTATCTTGTCCTTCGATGTCACTTACTCATACCCTCAATTGAAGTATTTTAAAGGCTTGACGAACCCTATCTAACTTTTCTCTCAGACTACCAGTTACATGGACAGCAGAAACCGCACACTTCACCCAGACTTCATTCTCCTAGGTTTGTCCTCCGATCCAGAACAGCGAAAGTTCCTCTTTGTCATCTTCTTGGTGATGTATACAGTGGGTATCCTGGGGAACTTCTTGATTATCCTGCTGATCCTTCGGAATTCCCAGCTACGTGCCCCCATGTATTTCTTTTTGGGACATCTTTCCTTGGTGGATGCTTGCTTCACCTCAGTCACTGTCCCCAAGATGTTAGTCAACCTCCTGGTGCCAGAAGCCACAACCATCTCTTACACTGGTTGCTTGACTCAAATGTATTTCTTCTTTGCCTTTGGGGTCACTGACAGTTTCCTCCTGGCTTCCATGGCTTATGATCGCTATGTGGCTATCCGTAACCCTCTACATTATACCACTATGATGAGCAAGAGAGTCAGAGTCTTTGTAGCCATTTCTTGGATTATCTCACATCTTCACTCCCTGCTACACATTATTCTCATGTCTCGCCTTTCCTTCTGTGGTTCCCGGGAGATTCCCCACTTCTTCTGTGACCACCAACCTGTGCTGGCCCTATCTTGCACTGATACAAGCTTAATTGAAATGTTGATTTTCACCGAAGGGTCCTTGGTGGTATTGAGTCCTTTTGTCTTCATTGTGATTTCCTATGCCCTTATCTTGGTCACTGTCTTGAGGCTGCCAGCAGGAACTGGGTGGCGCAAGGCATTCTCAACCTGTGGGGCTCACTTGTCTGTTGTCATTCTCTTTTATGGCACAGTAATTGGGGTCTACTTTCAGCCTACAGCAAAATATTCAGCTGAAAAGGGAAGGGTTACCACTGTCATGTATACTGTTGTCATTCCCATGCTCAATCCCTTTATATATAGCCTGCGGAATGATGATGTTAAAGGAGCCTTTCGCAGAACTTTGTGCAGGAAAGTGGGAATGTAGAGAGTCCTTTTCCTGCAATGTATTGTGCTGAATGTTAAACCATAAGTGTTGAGTCCTCTAATCAATGGCGAATGAATACAGCACATTCTGTAGTTCCAACAGCTCTTTATTGAAGTCTTTTCCACTCCGTCACAGCTCTGAGGCTCACAGGCCTCTCAGACTCTTTTTAACAACGTCCCCGGGCAAAATGGTAACAATTAGGCGTGCTCCGCACCTCGTGCATGCACGCGAAGCCGGTGCCAGCCAGTCTGGTCCCGGGTAGCTTGCAACTGCCCAGGACCATTGCAACGTCCCGAGCCTGCCTTTGCAGGCTCAGGACACAACACCCCTTTCCCCCCAGATGAGACTTATTAACTATATAGGTAGTTATACGCGACCTCAACATGAGCGTGGTGTGCCAACCCCAAACCTGCACATCTATTGCAGCTGTGCAATACCCACACCACAAATGGTAATGGGCTATTGTTCTGGGATTAACTACCCAACGCTCATACTTCCATTTTCCACAACAGCAGGCACCCTCTCACTTCCTCTGCATTGACAGCAGGGTTACAAAGTCCTCAAGATACTTGGGAGATCTTTTTACTCTCTGTGACCTCCTTAGATTCTGAGAATCCCCTACTTCCTCTTGTGCAGAGGATGACGTGGAGTTGCCCCCTCTTTCAAACCCTGGTGGTCCCCGTGAACTGTGCCCCATTGCCTGGTCTGCTTGCTTGCCAACCGGCTCGTCAAACCAGGACTTTGCTCCCCCATGAATCTGGTTGACCTGCCTAACTGTAGGCTCTCGGGCCCCTCTGTAAGCCTGCCACTGTTTGGCATTTCTATAGAGTCCTCCAAGCCCACAATGGACCTATTAAAGGGACGCAACCCTTCACTCCCAAGCCCCGTAACGGGATTGTCTGGGGTTTCTGCAGTGCCCCAATACTCAGGTGCCCCCCAATCTATGCCAGAAGTGCCAGAATTGGAATTGGCCTCTCTGACCACCTCCCTGTGTGAAGACTTCCTTCTGGAAACAGTAGCAGTACTGGGCCAACTTGACTGTTTGTGTGCCAGTTCTCTTGCAATGTTTGGGTTTTTAGGATGCTCCCGGTTATTCTTCCTGACTGGAGTGCTGAATGGTAGTTGTGAATGATGAGTATGCCCCCTGGGTGACTCCCTGGCTGGAGTAGACACTGGTGCCTGTATGATTTCTTGTTCCCTTGAATTCCTGTTTGGAACACTTGCGGAACCTTGGAACAGGCCATCTTCGGCCTCTCCGTTTGGCCCCGGCTGCTGCCAACACCCTTCCCTTTGCCCATAGTGGTCCCCCTCGCCCCCTGGAGAAAGCCCAGGAGCTTCAGAGGGTAAGTCCAGTCTCATGCACAGCTGATCGATATGCTGCCGAAGGACACGACCGTCATCCAAGGAGACCTCGTATGACAATGGGCCAGTAACCTTGCATACTACGGCAGGAATCCACAAGTGACCAGGCACGTAGTTCCAGGTCCATACGGGGGCACCCACTTGCAGACACTGCGGTGCCCTGGGTTGGGTGACCTTAGGAGGCAGTCTGTCCGGGTGCAACCTGTCAAGTTTGGTGATCAGTTTGCGTCCCCAACGGAGTTCAACTGGGCTCTTCCCAGTGGAAGTTGAAGGTGTGGTGCGGTAAGCAAGAAGAAAGTCTGCCAACCTGTGGTGCCAGTCCCCGTAGGTCAGTTTCTTTAAAGCATCCTTGGTGATGCGGACTATCCGTTCAGCCATACCGTTGGTGGAAGGGTGGAATGGTGCAGAGGTGGCATGATGAATCATGTTGGCCTGTAAGAAAGCTTGGAATTCAGAAGAGGTGAATTGAGGACCATTGTCAGACACCAGGACATCAGGGAGCCCATGTGCAGCAAAAATCCCTCTCAGTACTTGAATGGTCTTGGCAGCAGTGGTTGAAGAGACAGGTACAACCTCAAGCCACTTTGAATAGCTATCAACAAGGACCAAGAAGAATTGACCCTGAAAGGGCCCAGCGTAATCAGTGTGCACCCTAGACCAAGGTGACTGTGTTTCCTCCCATCTATATACAGGAGCCTGAGGCATTTCCGGGCGTGAGCACTGACACAAGTGGCATCCGTGCACTTGAGCCTCTATTTCTCTGTCTAACCCTGGCCACTACAAATGGCTGCGTGCAAGCGCCTTCATCCTGACGATGCCAGGATGGCCCTCATGAAGGAAGCCAAGACCCTAGGCCTCATTGAGGTAGGAATAACAACTCTGCTGCCCCATAGCAGACAACCCTGAAAAGTGGATAACTCATGTTTCTTAAACCAGAAACTCTGAAACTCAGTACCTGGACAACTCTCTGGCCATCCAGACAAAACCCAGGACAATACACGAGTGAGTGTGAGGTCCGTGGCTGATTCAGCAGCCACATCCCTGGCATTTAAGGGCGACTCAGGCAATGCCTGAATGGAAAGAATGTTGATGGCAGGGGCAGGGTCAGCCTCTACCATTTGTAAAGGTAATCTACTAAGGCCATCAGCATGGCCCATTTCCTTGCCAGGTTTGTGAACCAAAGAAAAATCATAGGCTCACAGAAAGATGGACCATCTCAGCATTCTGGGGGAGATGATATGGGGGGTTTGTTTGTTCATAGTAAACAACCCCAACAGAGGCTTATGGTCAGTGTAGACTATGAAGTGTCTGCCATATAGGAAATCATGGAATTTTTTAATTCCAGCAACAATGGCCAAGGCTTCTCTATCTATCTGAGCATAGTTTTGCTCAGCAGAAGACAAAGTTCTGGAGCCTTTCGCAGAACTTTGTGCAGGAAAGTGGGAATGTAGAGAGTCCTTTTCCTGCAATGTATTGTGCTGAATGTTAAACCATAAGTGTTGAGTCCTCGAATCAATGGCGAATGAATACAGCACATTCTGTAGTTCCAACAGCTCTTTATTGAAGTCTTTTCCACTCCATTACAGCTCTGAGGCTCGCAGGCCTCTCAGATTCCTTTTAACAACATCCCGGGCAAAATGGTAACAATTAGGCGCACTCCGTGCCTCGCGCATGTGCGCGAAGCCGGCGCCAGCCAGTCTGGTCCCAGGCAGCTTGCAACTGCCCAGGACCATTGCAATGTCCCGAGCCTGCCTTTGCAGGCTCAGGACACAACAATAAGAAATGTATCAGTTATCACCCCTAAGTTCTCAGGGAGTCTCAGAATAAATGGCACTTCCTCCCATGAGAGCCTTAGTGACGTGATTAGCAAGAATGGACTTCCCTTACTGATCCATTTTTCACCAGGGACAGAAGACATGATCCTATTGGTATGGCAAAGGCAGCCATGTTGCCATGGTATGACCCCCTTCCATTGCTCAGTTCATTTTTCCATCTCCCTTGCGTACCTGCAAGGCTGTGGCCTCATTTATAGTGGGCTCAGAAGCTTTGAGGGACTGGTGAAATGAATAAGCTGAATCAAAATCATATGCTTCATGTGGGAGTTGGGCAACAACAACAACAACAACAAAACAAATAGGAAGAGACAAGGAAAGACAGGAAAAGTGCAATGCACTGACTTTTTGAGGTTCAGTCAATGGAAAGAAGTGAGAGGACTACTCAGATCTGACCTAAAATCAATGGTTTTCAATCTTTTCTTCACCATGGATCCCCTTTAAATACCTTTTGTGGCCAAGGACCAGGGCCATGGGCCCCCGAGATTTAACTCAAGATTTAAATCATAATATTTCTTCAAGTCTTTGTGAGCCCCCTGTGACAATATCATGGCTCCCCAGAGGTACGTGGACCACAGATTGAGAAACACTGATCTAAACTGTAGAGTTATCTATTTTGGACAATGAGTCTCCCTCTTCCTATTGATGTTCCATTGTAAAATCGTTTTGTTTGTCCTTTCACCAGAGTGGAAAGACACTGAGGTTGGTCCTTTCAAACAATCCCTTAGGCTCTCCCCACTATCACATTACAGGGCTATCTACCTATTCATGATTCAGCAAAAAAAGAGAAAGAAATAGATTTACTGTGCTCACTGCTAATCTCTCTCCTGCTTCTATTCTCAGTCACTGCCAATCATCTGATGTCCCTCCAAAATAACAGATTTTACATTCTTTGAGACTGGCCTTGAATGGTGTCAGGATAAAGTGGATGATATTTCTTTAACTGTACAGCTAATGTCAGCTTCAGTTTTTTTCATTCATGGGAAATGAGGGAAATCTTGAGGGTGAGGTGGACAAGAGGATTTAACCATAGGTTGGCATGTGGATGCTTAATCCTGGTGCCAGCTGTTTAATGTAACCTGCCCAGAGTTCGTGTGTGGCAAGATGGGCAGTAATAAATTTTACTGATAAATAAATAATGTTTATAGTTGTAATATATAATACAACCTGTGCCTTGTTGGGTCATTGTTTTAGCGATATTTCTTTACCTAAACAGAGAAACAGAATGACCAAAGGTGGGCAAAAAAGCACTAGGAACAGGAGTGACTTCCAGCTTTCTGCTGCCTTCCCCATTGAGTTACATTTTAGGATTCTAACATGGAGCTTTGGAAATCTTCCTTCCTTCCTTCCTTCCTTCCTTCCTTCCTTCCTTCCTTCCTTCCTTCCTTCCTTCCTTCCTTCCTTTCTCCCTCCCTCCCTCCCTTCCATCCATCCATCCATCTTGCTTTCTTTTTCCAGCAGGCAGGTGAGTGGCTGCTGCTAGTTGGGGGAGGGTACAAAGGATTGCAAAACTGGCTAGGAAACTGTCACGGAACATTGAAAGTGAAGATCACATGACCACAGCAGCATCCCATCAATGCAGCAGCAGCCAGTAGCACTGAGGCAGCCACAAGTTCCCCAAATTTCATTTCCTTGGAAGCCATGTATCTTGGATTTTGGAAACATTCTGTAAGTTAGCACATCTGAAGTACCATATATTCCGGCGTATAAGGCGATCCGGTGTATAAGATGACCCATGACTTTAGCGCCGAGTCACATGCCTAGAAAGTTGTCTTATACGCCAGAAACTACTGTTATTTCCAGTGCATAAGATGACTCAGCGTATAAGATGACCCCTGACTTTGGCGCCGATTTCAACGCTTGCGAAAGTCGTCTTATACCCTGGAAAATACGGTACTTTGGTTCAAAAATTGTTTATCTGTGGTGCATCCTTTCACCAAGCTAAAGGTCATCACCATAAAAGTTTTAGTGCTGAACTTAGTATTTAGATATTATGTTGTTTTAATATGGATGTCATTTTAATTGCTGGGTGGCAGCTGCCCAGAAATTGATATAAGATGGATGGCTATAAAAATGTTTTAAATGAATAAATAAATAACACGGCAGAAAAAGGATATTGCCAGGGCATGCTTGGGCTATGGTTAGGTGCAAGCAGCTTTGTACATTATGTTAGTATTTCCTCTCATGAAGTGGCCTAACATTTTAGATGCTTTAGAACAAATCAAGTGGTCTCAATAAGCTTTTAAGAACTTCTCTCCTTTATGCAGTGGATTAGTGATTTTGAATTCCAGAGAACATAGCTTTTTCCCCTGTGAAAGGATTTTTCTCAAAATATCAATGGGAAGAGAAGCTACCTCTACCTCAACCAATAGGCAAAAAGAGATTCAGTATGGTGAAATGTTAACTTTTTCAAACTATGGGTTATGACTGCAACTGATATACCAAAATACTCAAAAGCTAAAAGAAGGTCTTTAAAAGGGAGTAGCAGCACAAACCTATTTTGCCCTCTCTTGCTGGACAGAGGGATGAGGAACAAAGGAGCTGGGATAGTGACTGCCAAAGTATGGAGGTCCTCAAGAACCCAGGACCACTCCTATTCTTAATTCTTCAGGCCCAGGTCTTAAAAAATATGTTTCTCATTATCTAAAGACAACAATGAATCTTTGGGGACTTTACTGGACTCCACAGTGGACGTTTTGAAGATGCGATAATTTTCAAGGGATACCAATACACATGCTTTGGTTATCTTAATCAGTTGTTTCTTATTTGTTGCATATTGTTACTAGGGTGACCCAGATTCCTGCGAGCAAGCTAAGGTTCAAAGATATTGATGAGTTTTTATAGTGTATCCCTAAAATTTGGAACCTGTTTATTTTGCATATATACAGGAAATCCTTGACATACAGCTATTCATTTAGTGATGGTTCAACATTGTAACGGCATTGAAAAAGTGACTTATAACTGGTCCTCACAACAGTCACAGCATCCCCACTGTCACATAATCAAAATTTGGGGGAGGGGGTTGAGGGTTGGCAACCAGCATGCATTTCCTATGGTTGAAGTGCCCTGGGGGGGGTCATGTGATTGCCATTGGTGATCTTCCCAGCTGGCTTACGATAAGAAAAGTCAATGGGAGAAGCCTACTTTGCTTAACAACCATGTGATTCCCTTAACAACTGGAGTGTGGCAAAAATGGTCATAAAATCAGGCGCAACTCACTTAACAAAGGTCTTGTTTAGCAACCTAAATTCTAGGATTCATTGTGGTTATAGGTTGAGGACTTTCTGTAGTGCTTGAACTGTTGCTGAAAATATGTCTATGGAGATTCTCAGTCATCCAGATCATGGTTGTCCCAAAGATGCTTTTTCAAGAGGCGACTGGATTTTCTTTGTTTTGCTTTGAAGAGGTTTTGCTTCTCATCCAAGAAGCTTTTCAGCTCTTTCTTCAGTTTAAGAGCTGAAGAAGTTTCTTGGATGAGAAGCGAAATATCTTCAAAGAAAAACAACTAAGTCCAGTCGCCTCTTGAAAAAGCACCTTTGGGACTACTGAAAAGATGGTTATTGTTGAGTCCTCGAGTCAATGGCGAAAGAAGAGCACACATTCTGATGGTAATAACAGCTTTTATTCTCTTCAGCTCTCTCCGACACAACTCAGAGGCTCGCAGGCCTCTCTGCCTCTAAATAGAATCCCCAGGCAAAAAGGTAACATGAGATGGCGCGCTTTCGCGCCTCGCGCATGCGCGCAGGCTGGCAGCACTCAGTCTGGTCCCGGGCAGCTTGCAACAGCCTGGGACCATTGCAACGTCCCGAGCCTGCTTTTGCAGGCTCAGGACACAACAGTTATATATTCTTCGAAAGATGCACATGTGCTAACTAGACTCTAAATCAGTGGTTCTCAACCTTTTTAATGCCGTGACCCCCAACCGGTTGTAAGTCGAGGACTACTCAACCGGTTGTAAGTCGAGGACTACTCAACTGGTGCAGCACCGTTTGCAGAATGGGACTTTTGGCGGGCTCAGCAGGGCAGAGACAGCCTGGACAATTCCTATTGGCTTTTGAAAGCCAATAGAATTAGACTCTATTCAAGAGAGTCTATTCTATTGGCTTTCAAAAGCCAATAGAATAAAAGGGAGTAGCACAGCTAAGGAAAAGGGGGAAAAATGGTGGACTGCGTTGTTTGGCGACCCCCGTGAAGTGGGGTCCCAACCCACAGGTTGAGAACCACTGCTCTAAATGTTAGCGTGTTGAACTGTGTCACTTCTCAAGCCTTCATACTGGTTCTTAAGACACAAAGAAAACACTGTATTCAAATTTCAATTTGATATTTAAATATTGAGTTGTCAGAATTTTTATGAAATGTAACCATTACACCTGTATTGTAGAGAACTGCATTTTGTTGTTTTAAAATACATTTCATTTTATGTTAGCTTGATTTATTTAGTTTTTCATATATCATTTGTTCTTGATTATATTCACAGGTTTGGTGTTTTGTATTTTCACTTGATTTTTTTTTCTTTTTACAACTCTTTAATCCCTTGTTTCAGGGAGGAGTTGGGGCAACTGAGAGGAGTTAAGCGTTTACTGACTGGATGCCCTTTCTGAGGCCTACACAGAATTCACAGCAGTTATTTTCTCTTTGCACCCTAGGAGAGAAAGATCTGGCACTGCCTAGGATTGAACGCTTAACCTTCCAAGTGGGAGGCAAGTGTCTTCACCTCTAGGCCATCGCACTGCTTATTGTGTTTTCACTTAATTAAGTTTAGTTCATTAAGCTCAGCTGAAATATCAAATTATCAAATGAAGCTGTGGATCAGCACTGGTTCTGTGCCGTTGTGAAGCATATCAGAGACCCCTTTCTGAAGTGCTTTTATATTATTATACACAATGGCTCATCCACGTTTCCTGCTTCCGGGAGGGAGAAACATATCACTGTTTCTCAAGGATAGGAATATATAATGTCATTCTCAATCCATTTTTAACCCTCTTCAAAGGCAGCCTTGGCCCCTTTTTTCTTCTCTCCATCAAAAAGTAGTGTTTTCTACAAAACTTTGGACACAATATAGTGTTTGACCAATGGGAGAATATGAGGGTATGAAGAGTAAAGGATTGAAATTTACACTGAATTATAATTTATAACTTGAAAGAGAGCTATTGTATCATTGGTACTTAACACCTGATAAATCCTCAAAAATGTGTAAGAGTTTTGCAAGCACATGTTGGAAAGGTAATCAACTTGAAGGTACTTTTCATCATCTTTGGTGGACACAGAAGAAAGCTAAGAAATATTTGGATCAGATGTGTATTTTAATTTAGAGAATTCTCAAAGTAAGCATACAACTAAAACCAGAAGTTTTTCTCCTAGGTTTGATGGACAAACAAACTGGGGAAAAAAACCATGGAGCTTTATTCTTATAAGGAACAGACAGCAGCAATATTTCTCTATGCACAGAGATGCAAGGACTCAAGAAGGCAACAATGGATGGTGAAGTTTATGGAGATGGCAGAGATGGCAAAATTGATTGCTTTGATTAAAGACATGACTTTGTCTAGCTTCATTTTTACTTGGAAATCACTTTTAGACTATTTTCTTGAAATAGTCACTTGAGAAAAGGGAAGGGAAGGGGAGGGAAGGGAAAGGAATCTGCTTTCTGTAAGAAGCTGTGTTCAAGGCCAAAGGGAACAGTCTTAGACATATAACTATTTTGTCCCAAATGAAAGCAGTTTCTGTCTAAGCATACTCTTTCCCATTTTGTGTGCTAGGTTCTCTCCATTAGCTTTTTAACTGAGGAAAACATAGTTTTGAGTAAAAAATATCAAGAACTTCAAATTAGGGAGGAGGTTTTTTTTTCAATCATCCCCAAATACACCAACATGGCAGGTTAGCCAGATCATTTTGGGACATGCTTTTAGGAGGAGAACCTAATGCAAGGTTGGATACTGTTCTGCCAAAGAAGTAAATTCATGATGTTTTTGAAACAGCCAACCCTCAAAATTATTAACTGAGGCCCTTTGTGAAATTCAGAAAGGGCTAGTTCCTTCCAAACATTAAACAATCAGTTGTCATTTGATTGTTTCATTGTTTCAAATATTTATATTTCAGGTGAGCATCCATTCATGAGTGAAGCCTGGGGCAAGTTATCCTATTACCCCATTTAAAAGGGTCTAGTATTAAGCTCACATTTTATGATTCCTCAACTACACTGTGGTTGCCAAGAGAGGCCAGGTATGAAATCTGAGACTATTTGTATGCGAAGAATATGTTCCATCAGCATGGGCAGCTCTCCCCCTATTCTCACTTCAAACCAGCTGGATGGCAGCTCTATGGCAGAGCCAAGATTTCACTAAGATTTCAGTTTGGAGGAAACAAGGATCCTTTTCCCAAGAGATTCCTCACAGCCCCCTTCACTTCTTTATTCCTGAGACTGTAGATATAAGGGTTGGACATTGGGGTGATGACAGTGTACACCAGAGCAAAAACTGACCCTCGCTGTGAAGAATACTTTGAAGTGGGTGAGAAATAGACAGCAATGATGGTCCCATAAAAAAGAACCACCAAAGTGAGATGAGACCCACAGGTAGAAAAAGCTTTGCGCTTCCCCGAAGAAGTGAATTTCATTATAGTTGCCACTATGTGAATGTAGGTGAGGATGATGAAAACTAAAGGCCCAAAGATGATGATTCCACCTTCAAAGAAGATGACTGCCTCATTGACACTGGTGTCTGAGCAGGACAGCTGCAGCAAGGGTTGATGATCACAGAAATAATGGGCCAAGTGATTTTTCCCCCTATAACTGAGACGCAGGAGCAGGCCAGCATGCAGCATGGAGTGTAAAGTAGAAACGATACAACACCCAGCCACTAAATGCCCACAAACCTTCTGGTTCATCACTGAGGCATAGTGGAGAGGATTACAAATGGCTACATAGCGATCCAGGGCCATGACACTCACAAGAAGGAGATCAGTGACACCAAATACATAGAGGAAGAAGAACTGAGCCAGGCAGGAATAGAAGGGGATTGTTCTGGAACCAGTTATCATGCAAACCAGCATCTGTGGCATTGTGACTGAGATGAAGCCAACATCAATGACTGAAAGGCAACGGAGCAGGAAATACATGGGGGTCTGGAGTCGCGCATCCAAGGTGATGAGAAGAAACATTATAACATTCCCCAGAAGTCCAGCACTGTACATGAGCAATAAGAGGAAGAAAAAGAGGAACCGGTCTCTAGATTCAGAAGAAAAGTCCAGAAGAACAAAATCTTCAATATCTGTCCCGTTCTCACAATCCATGAGACCTGCGTGGAAAATCAGTTAAAATTAGAAAGTAATATTGATTTTTCACAAGCAAAAAACTCGTTGAATGATTGAAAGACTGTCTGTTATAGAGTGTCAAATTTCAATTCAGATATTTCAGCATTTAATGTTTTTACACATGTTGTTGGGATTCAACAAAATCTGCAGCCCTGGGTTATCAATATTTGTTCTTCAACATTTGCAAAGACAGTTGGTTTTTTTTTCAACAAAAGTCCTTGGAGGACGACCTTCAACAGTGTGATTTTTTTTTTTAGTCTTATTGTTTTTTTATTATATAAATTTCTAGAGCCTTTCCCTGTCTTTTTAGTCTGGTATCATTTCACTTTATAAATCTATGTACTATTTTTAAATGTTAGCTTAGTTTTTTGTAATATTTATTAAAACAGTGAGTCATCCAGCCTTTCCTTCATATTCCCACTCTTTATTATAACCAGGAACAAATTTATTAATAAAAAACAAATTGCAGTGTTCTGTTTTTGTCTATGCGTGTCTGTATATTATGTGCTTGTTCTTTCTAGTTGATCTGTTCTCTCTCTGACTTTTTTTTTTCCAGCAGCCAGAGTTGGTAGATTTTTCTCCTCATGGACCAAATGTGCTGGTACTATTTTTTGTATAGTCGTTCTGAAGATCTGAGACACGTGAAGGACAATAAGGTAGAATTTAGTTTTTTGTTCCAAAGGGTAAAAACCAGCCAAATACACAGGTTGGCTAGAGAAAGACTGAACTGTGGATTGGGAGAAGCATGGGAAAGAAGACTAGGGGTGGGGTGGGGATAGGAAGCTGATGCTGCTCCCACTTGTTTTATGAGAGAAGAGTTGGCCTATTGGCCAATATTCCTCTAGCTGAGCTAGAGCAGCATAGAAATAAATAAACGTAGAAATAACATCAAATAATCAGGTTCTTCTGACAACATCTGAGTTATCTTTCATTCCTCAGCTGAAGAATACTTTCTAGTGGGAGGGGGTGACAGAGAAACAAGATTCACTTCTCTGTTTCCCAGCTGATAGACAGAGGGGTCTACTGGTTGTTAGCTATCCTTCTCTCCTTTGAGCTGGAAATAATATTGAACACAATATTTGAGTAATGGGGAACATGAAAACATTGGTATTATTGGATGATGCTACATTGCACAGAAATTCTTCATTTTTTTTCTTTCTCTCCATTTTTCCCTTCTTTTTTAAATGGTGGCTTTAAATGCTTCAGAAACTGAGTCATGGATTAATATGGAAGAATATGTGAATGTATAGAAATGCATTAGTTTTTAACTTTTGGAAATCTGGTCTCACTAGTCCCGAGGCAGAGATGTGCCTTTTACTTTCCACAGACATTTTGCAAAGAGGTTTAAAAAAAAAAAAGCAGCATAGATTTCTGTTGCAAACCAAGATGATGAACAGAAATAACAAAAGCTTCATCTCAATATAACTAGACATTCTGGTTTGTTCACCTCTATATAACAAGACATTACTTGTGTGGCAACATCAAGCACAAAATGTGTTTGCAGAGATCTGAACTCGTATGCACGAATACGAGAAGATAGTTTTTTTTAGGTCAATAATCTATTTTATCACACCATCATTTGAAACATATGTGTTATCATCCTTTGCTTTCTCAAATCTGAGGGTAATCTATCTTTGGGGAGGTGGGGAGAGGTAAAGACAGAATATTGCATTTTCCCAACCCAGAACTATCACAGCATATACTTTTTAACACAAAAGCATAATTTCTCTGGCAAAACAAACAGGTATTTCATGCACATGCAGATTTTTTGCATGACAAATGCTCAATCTGGATAGGGAAAGAAAAACAGAATAATAGAATAACAGAGTTGGAAAGGATCTTGGAGGTCTTCTAGTCCAACCCCCTGCTCAAGCAGGAGACCTATACTATTTCAGACAGATGGTTGACCAATCTCTTCTTGAATGCCTCCAGTGTTGGACCACCCACAACTTCTGGAGGCAGGATGTTCCACTGATTAAGGAAATTCCACTTTAGTTCAAGGAGAGATCCAACTTAGAACAAAGGCAGAATTTCCTGACAGAACAATTAATCAGTAGAGCAATCTGCCTCCGGAAGTTGTGAATGCTCCAACACTGGAGGTTTTCAAGAAGAGACTGAACCCTCTTATGCTGGGGGAGGAATGTAACCCTCTGCCATTATAGAATATGCATTTTCTTACATTCATATCCTTCTGCCCAAAAAGGGCTCATTCTCACTTATTATGAAATAACTACTGAGATTACTGTACGGAATTCACTCTGTACATAATAATAATAAAGTTGGAAGGGACCTTGGAGGTCATTGAGTCCAACCCCCTGCTCAGGCAGGAACCCTACACCATTTCAGACAAATGGCTGTCCAGTCTCTTCTTAAAAACTTCCAGTGTTGGAGCATTCACCGCTTCTGGAGGCAGGCTGTTCCATTGGTTAATTGTTCTAACTGTCAGGAAGTTTATCCTTAGTTCTAAGTTGCTTCTCTCCTTGATCAGTTTCCATCCGTTGCTTCTCATCCTGCCTTCAGGCACCTTGGAGAATAGCTTGACTCCCTCTTCTTTGTGGCAGCCTCTGAGATATTGGAACACTGCTATCATGTCCCCCCTCATCCTTCTCTTCATTAAACTAGACATACCCAATTCCAGCATGGTCAATATAGCCTCCATACGTTTATGTATATTGCTCCCTAGTGCCCACTTTCTCATGCTGACCCTGACAAAGAACTAGGTTTGGTAATTTTGCTCTAGGAAGTTTTGTCTTATGTTTATTTCTGCTCCCAAGAGAAAATGCTACAAAAAGAAAAGGAGAGGGACTGAATGAGAAGAGGAAGAATGACGGGATTGATATTATTCCGTGTTCATCACATTTATATCCCATATTTTTCCAAGAAGCTCAAAGTAGTACACACTAATTAATTCTTGTTTTCTTGTTCTTATTTGAGTGGGATAAACCCTGTGAGATGTTTACACTAAAAGTTAGTACCTCAGCGTGTCATGAGTATGAGAACCTGTAATCTCTTGGTTCACATCTAATATTCACTCTGTTATGCTTCCCAGAAAGAAGATGAATCTACTGAAAGACAGTGAATGAGAATAGGACAATAGAAGACTAGGGATGGGTGAAGAAAAGAGTTCAAGAAAGGTGTCTAAAAGATGGAGAAATTAAGACAATCAGGAGAGGCTCCCAGTCATTACTGGAAGTCTGAGTCTGTTCAGAAAAGCAATATTCTAAGCCATCCATACTCTAATTTGAAGCTCTCAGTATCTATTGAAATATGACTTCCACATTGCCTGCTCATTGCTAATTCAAATGTTGTGAGATGTAATGGAACATAAACAGCTAGATTTGGGAAGGGTCTGAGATGTCAAATAAGCCATCTACTTGTTCTGGATTTTGTCATCTCCAATTGTTTGGAATGGCAAAATAATGAAAATTACAGCTCAACATCTCTAAAAGGCACCAGGATGAGAAAATCTGTGCCTGTTCTGTTGAGCAACACAGATGTCAGTACTCAGTGCCAAATCTCACATAGTTGTCATGGGATTTCATGCCTTGCTTTGCTCTGGGTGAACAATTCAATTGCTTCCTCAGCCCATTTATTTCAGAGTTGCCTCTATCTACTAGAAACTGTGGCAGATTCTGTATCAGAGTGAAATGACAACAGTTACAGCAACACTAAAAAGGTGTGTTGTCAATGAATCAGTCTCTTACTTACCTGTATCAACAGATTACTCTTGATCTGGCACCAAACTGATTTTTTGGCAATGGACCAGACCTCCAGCCCAACTGAACATTAAAGATAGTCAACCAGGATTGTTTTGTTTCAAAGTCTGTAACTTCCAACGAGAAGCCAGCAGGATTTCATTTAAGGATCAGCTACAGAACCCACCAGGGATATTTCATAAGCAGCTAAGCAAGACAGCAGAAATTCATATCCAGTGAGTGGCGGCCATCTGGAGACCACAGAGAATGGTTTGTTATTAAAACCAGGAGTCAAAATGCAGAAAAACAAGTGTCATTCTCTAGCACAAGTAGCATGCACTTCAGAAATTGGAGGAAGCAGGGTGGAGGAAGGAGGGTGAGCTTTGAGAGAAAAACTCTCTGGGGAGAAATAAGAAAGTGTTTGGAGGCCAAAGAAAGGCACAGCAATGCAGAGGTTTCCATGAAGATTGGCGAGTTTACTAAAACTAAATTCTAAAGAAGTTAAGCACCTTTTTTCAGTTCTGACAGGCTCTTTTAACTAGAGTTAACTATAATACCTCAGAACTCTGGAGTTTCTGCCAAAACTTGAATTCTTCATCTCGAAGACTAATATGTTTCTAGGAGAGATCCTTATGGTGCCTTAGCAGAGAAGACCAGATAGAGAAACATTATTGGAAACAATTTTAAGATGTATTAAGATGGATCTAATTCTCTTAATGGCGGGTTGGCATTTTGAAGAATACAAATATAGCAGAACTTTGAGAATGAGATGAGGGAATCCTTAAATTTGATAGAGATGATGGAGAGATAGATGAGAGAAGAGAAGAGAAGGGAAGGGAAGGGAAGGGAAGGGAAGGGAAGAGAAGAGAAGAGAAGAGAAGAGAAGAGAAGAGAAGAGAAGAGAAGAGAAGAGAAGAGAAGGAGGGAGAAAGAGAGAGAGAGAGAGATAAATGGCATATGAATATTTACATTATGTCTGTTATGGACTGTATGTCTTTTGAAACATTTTTCCTGAGAAAGAGAATGTAGGAAAATCATTGAAATCAGTGACTAGGATTTGACAAAATAAGCACAATTCAGCAATTTAGCAAGTATTTTTTAATATGAGCTATTGCAATAGAAGGATTTAAAAGAACTTAATATATTTGTAACTTGGGTAGTGTTTACATTGGCTGGAAAGTGCTCTCAGTTTCTGCATTTTTCTCTTTTTTATATATTTTTTTCATTTTGCAAAATCTAGGTCAAAAACACAGAACTCCCAGGATGCCAAGGACTGCACATTATTTTACCCATGTGGGGCAAAACTTCCAAAGTTGCTTCTGCCAACTAAAACCATCATGTATAAGTAGATGTGGTCAAAGTGATTGAAGCGATTAAAATGAAATAGCTATAAAAAAAACCTGACATAAACAGATGGACAAGTGCACAAATTTAATCAAGGATATTCTTTATTGAATATTTAAATGATTAGGAGGAGCTCAATGCAAGGTATTAAAGACTACTTCCATGTGAAATGTTTTATTTATTCATTCATTCATTCATTTATTTAAATTAGTTATAGTTGCCCCCTTTAATAGAGCTGGCTTACAAAATACAAAGACAATAAAAATAGCTAAAAACATATGACAGCACTGAGAGCCTGGGTGAAACCACCATAACAATAACATGTCAGGGGCTCACAAACATATTGACCCCAAGACAGAGTTACCTCTCTACCCTGGGAATTGCAGGAGAGAGGGTGCCATTCATATGTCAGTGGGATGCAGTTACAGAGGCAAGGGCTGTGACAGAGAGGGCTACTTCCTTGGTTTCTTAAGAGGACAATGTTTAACAGAGAGGACCTCGAGCGTACCCATTCTGCTGGAATATATCAAGCGAGCAAAAATAGTGTTTCAGATATGCAGGCTCTATGCCAGGGGTCCCCAACCCCCGGTCCGTGGACCAGTACTGGACCGCAGCATGCCACCAACTAATCTGCACAAATAAGCAAAGCTTCAACTGCAGGATGCAGGCAGCACACAAAACCACACACCCTCTGGTCCACAGGAAAACCTCTCTCCATCACAAGATTGGGGACCTCTGTGCTATGCCATACATGGCTTTATAGATAATGACCAGGACCTTGCATTGCCTCCAGAAACTGACTGGCAACCAATGCGGTTCATGTTCAACCAATGACACTTGGTCATACAGATAGTTCCTGATTAGCAATGACAATTGGATTAAAATTTCCTCTGTTAAGTGACATAGTCATAAACTGTGATGTCATGTGAAGTGCTATTGCTACTACTATTGCTAATGAATAGTCAGATACGTGCTGAATGAATAATCATTAAACAAGGACTACATCTACTGAGAATTGCCCATTATTGTTCATGCCACACCATTTTGTACCAGTTGTAGTTCCTAGATGGTTTTTAAGGGAAGAACCTACATACCATGCATTGCAAAAATCCAGTTGTGAGCAGACCAGTGCATGAGTAACTGCTGAAGGGCTTCCCAGTTGGGAAGGATGAAACTGACACACAAGATGAACTTGTGCACAGATCCTTCTATAGTAACCACAGCTGCCCCTGCACTTCAAGCATTATCTATGAGTCTAGAAAGACCCCATATTGTGCACTGGTCTTAAATGGGGATGTACTATCCCATCCAAGTCCAACGATGAAACATTGTTGACCTGATGGACCAAACTGCCACAGTCACTCAGTCTTATCCAGATAGAGCCAAAGTCTGTTGCACCATATCCAATTCTACACAACCTCCAGACACTGGATCAGTACATCAACAGCTTCACCTGTGAAGCCTGGGGTTGATATTTAAAGCTAGGTATCATGAGAATACTGATAATACCAAACTCTGTACTGACAACCTCACCAAGCATTTTTCTGTAGATGTTAAACAGGATTGGAGGAGAGTGTCAAGCTCTAAGGCACCCTACAAGTGAAGGGCTGTGGAAATGATCTCTCCCTCTCATCAACTAATTGAAATCAACCTCTGAGGAAAGAGGCAAATTACTATAACATAGTGCCTCCAGTGGTGGTATTCAGCCAGTTTGCACCAGTTTGGCAGAACCGGTAGCTAATTTTTTGTTGCCCAGGCCCAGAATGGACTTCTGGAAGCAGCATCCACACAGAGAACCGGTTATTCACATATTTGAATCCCACACTGAGTGCCTCCCATTCCTAACCCTTCCAGTATAAATCCTAGATATGTTACCCTATTAATCTCCCCCTCATCAAAAGGGCCCAGTATTAAGGCTACACTTTATGATTACTCAACTGCACTATGTTTGCCAAGAGATGCCCAGTATTAAATCCAATGTCATTTGTATACCAAGAATATGTTCCATCAACATGGGCACCTCAAGCCAGCTAGAAGGCAGCTATAGGGTACAGCCAAGTTCACAGTCAGTTTTGAGAAAATAGGGATCTTCTCAAGAGATTTCTCAGAGCATCTTTCACTTCTTTATTCCGGAGACTGTAGATATAAGGGTTGGACATTGGGGTGATGACTGTGTACACCAGAGCAAAAACTGAACCTCTCTGAGAGGAATAGCTGGAGGTGGGCAAGAAATAAACAGCAATAATGGCCCCATAAAAGAGGCCCACTATAGTCAGGTGAGACCCACAGGTAGAGAAAGCTTTGCGTCTCCCAAAAGAAGTGAACTTCATTATAGCTACTACAATACGAATGTAGGTGAGGATGATGAAGACGAAAGGTCCAAGGATGATAATGACACCTTCAAAGAAGATGACTGCCTCGTTGACATGGGTGTCTGAGCAGGACAGCTGCAGCAAGGGCTGATGGTCGCAAAAGTAATGGGCCAGGTGATTTTTCCCTCGATAACTGAGACGCAGGAGCAGGCCAGCATGCAGCATGGAGTGTAAGATAGAAACGGTACAACACCCAGCCACTAAATGCCCACAAACCTCTTGGTTCATCACTGAGGCATAATGAAGAGGATTACAAATGGCTACACAGCGATCCAGGGCCATGACACTCACGAGAAGGAGATCAGTGACACCAAAAATGTAGAAGAAGAAGAACTGAGCCAGGCAGGAATAGAAGGGGATGGTCCTGGAAGTAGATATGATGTGAACTAGCATTTGGGGCACCGTGACTGTGAGGAAGCCAAGATCAATGACTGAGAGGCTCCGTAGTAAGAAGTACATGGGGGTTTGGAGTCGCGCTTCTAAGGTGATGAGGAGGATCATCATGGTATTGCCCAGGAACCCAGCAGTGTACATCAGCAGAAAGAGGAGGAAGAAGAAATATTTGTCTTCAGGCTTGTAGGAAAAGCCCAAAAGAACAAATTCTTTAATGTTTGTCCCGTTCTCACAGTCCATGAGACCTGAAGAAAAATAACCTCATAAAATTAGAAATTAACATAGTCACTAGGAACAGCTTCTCAAACAAATCTCACAAAATAATTTAATTGTCAGTTGCAAAATGTCCAAACTGAATTTGGAGATTTCCACATTTAATGTCCAAATGTTTTTATAATTGTCAGATAATGCAGGTTTTTTAAAAAAAATTCAGATAGGTCCATCTTTATTTGAAATGAACACACACTTAGCAAGAAACATGTGTCTGGGGGGGAAATTCCAAGGATTCGTGTAAAACTGATTTTATTCAATTTACATTTAATGTAATATAATCCAATTCCTCTCCAGTCAGGTGCAATTCATCCTAATCATATTCAGTTGTTATCGAAAATGCATTTAATCCAGAGTTATTCTCCCTACCCCTACTGCTAAATCAAAAAAAGAGTAACCGAAGAATACTTAATCCTTTGTATACCTTGTTCATTGCTTGAACATAATGACTTATGATTTGTGCTGAATAGAAACTTAATAATCTTTGACTCAAGCCTGGCTCCTGATATTGTCAAACAAGGACAATCTTTTTCAATGTTCCAGTCTATCCTACAGCAGTATTATTCTCTAACATCCATGTACTGACTACAATAGACCAAAACCCAGTTTAGTTCCCAAGCCCAGACAAGCTCAGCCAACACCATCAAAATAAAGTCAATAAACCTTAAGGGTTCATAATTTCAACAGGTCTATTTTTCTTTAGGCAGGAAATCGGGCATTACTGGGACTCAAAATTTCTTTCATGTAATCTGAGCATCAGAATCAAAGATGGGCAAATTAGGGGTATTACTCCATTTAAGAAAGCCACAAGAATGTATGAATGTATGAATTTATGTTGTTGTGGGGAACAGAGGAGGAGGAAGAAGTATTATGTATCTTAATCATCTTGAATTATTTATAAAAAATAATAAAGGTGGGATCAAAATAAACAAATGGCTGTTTTTCTAGTCAAAGTTCTTATCAATTTCTTGATGTGCTTCTTAACAGATCAGGAACATTCTAAATTCTTTCATCCTCTCCCTGATTGGGATTAGAATCTCTTGTGAGATTTGAACAGCTTCCTTTCTTGAACATTTTAGCCAAGGAAGACATTCTTTAGGTTACTCAGTGAAAAAGAAGAATGAAATCTGATGTACCCATTCCACGAAACTCAGTGTATCTATTTTAGTATGCTTCAAAGTTGGTAGAAAGGGCTGGCTCTCAGTGGATCTTTAGGTGCAGAAAATCCCAGGTTTAATTCATAAGCTCTCCAGATAAAGCTGGAAAAGACTCTTGGTTGAATCCTTTAATTAAACTAAACACAGAGCAATGAGCCAGATGGACACAAGCCTGGTTGGGCCTGGTTCCTATTTTAAATCTTTTTTATGGCAGTTGTGGAATTCGTAAACTTGTTGAACTTGTAAGAGTTATGAAAATGCTGGTATTGTCTCCAAATACCCAATAACAAGCATCCAAGACAAATGGTAAGGTGTGTTTTTCCTGTGGGGATGCTGTTTGCTTGCATTACATTACAATCACTCCAGAAAAATCCTGCAGATGACTCCTCTCCTTTCCCATTTCTCCCCACCTTATTCTGCTTCCCCCTTGGCTCCCATCTGGACCCCTAGATGCAAATAATGAGGCATCTCAGAAACAGTAGGTTGCTTTCATTTCTTACGCTTGCAAGTCAGTCAATGATCTGAGGCAAAAGCCAGCCAGTGCAGGGAGGGCAGTACAATGTAGGATTTTTTAAAAATAGGTTGCATGCGCTTTGCTTGCCTGGGTTGGGATGAACAGTAGAGAAAGCCTTCTTGCACTCCATTTAATTGTTAAGGAACTAAAGATTTGTAAAACTGAATCCAGACAGATACTCTTACCTGCTGCAATCACACCCTCTGGTGGGGGACCACTCACAGATCTAATCTCAAATCTATCTTTTCCATCACCTAGTCCCTTTTCTAATGGCTGCCATTTATGCCCCAGGCCCTTCTCCACAAACTAGTCAAAACCCACACAGAGGCACCTTTCCTTGAGATGAAAGTCTGGTGGTGGTGGGTAGAGTATGAGTTTTCACCTGCTAAACTGTTGTCTGGATACCTCTTAAAAGACATTGCAATCTGCCCATAGAAAGATGGCATTCCTTTCCAAAAGCTACCAATTGCCCCTCCCTTAAGAAATGGGAGAGCTCCCGCTTAGAAACACTCCTTGAGGTTTTTCCCCATTGCATCCATCCATGGCAAAAACATGCAACATCTTCATTGTTTCATGCTGGGTTCTCATAATGGTCCTTTTCTCATCGATAACCAGTTAGACTGCCTTAGGTTCTCTTTGACCATCCCAATATTAAAATAGTGTTTTTCCTGTTGCTCCAACAACATCCAAGAGCAGCTTCAAGATATAGAACAACTTGAGGCTTTGTTATTTGGAGGGAAATCAGGGGACTGCAAAGGCAGTTGAGGCAGGATAGGGATCAGCCATGAAAACAGTCCATTTCTGGCTACTACGGTCTTCTGCTGACTACAGGATGGCTGAAGAGCACCATGGTCTCTTTGACTTGTATCATCATATATTCCAAAGTTTTCTTAAGGGGACATTCTTAAATTTACATCAAAGCTTGCTACAAGATTTCAATGTTTGGTTCTTGCTTCAGGGATGGAGTAGCCATCCAATGTTCCACATATAATCTTTCAATGCAATATCAAACCACTATGGATTTGCTATGGGTTATACTATCAGATGTGTCCTAGTTTTATATTGCATTTCTAGGCATTTCTATGCCTCTTTCCCTTCTATAATATGTTAAATTATAAAGTCTGACAATCATCTACTGTCCTGTCTCCTATTATCTGGGCTCTAACAGTGATACTTCAGTGGTCTACTCTACAGCAGTGACTGGGGAAGAAGCTAAGGAAACTGTGTATTGTATTGACCTGTCTCTTTTTGATGTGTGTGTGCTTTTTAGTCATTCTTGATCCTGCAATCCCATGGACAAATCCATACCTTTTTCTTGGCAACATTTTTTTGAAAATGTTTTGCTATTGTCTTCTTTCTGGAGTGACTGACTGGCAAAAGTCACCCAGCTGACGTCTGTGCCTAAATAGGACCAGAATACACAGTCTCTTGTTTTTTAGCCTGGTTCCTTTAACCACTAACCAAACTAGCCTTCATGTGGGCCACAGATATACCTATATCCTAGGCATAGCCCATAAAAGTCATCATACCACATTCGAATCTCTACCTTGTATTTGGCTAATCATCTCACAGAACAAACCTGTCTGTCTCTAGTCCAAATATTCCTAACTAGGGGTACCCAGATATCTTGGAGGTGTATGTGTATAAAATATACATTTGAAGTGTACACTATGAATTTAATAAATTAACAATAAATAGTAAAACTATTATCTTTTAATATTTTGATAACTATTTAAGGGTAATAGTTTGAGGGTTTCCTTTGTAATACACACAAACACACACACACACACAAAGGAAAGCTATTTTATACATTTAAATACATTTTTCTGAGAAAAGATACAAAGTATTCATCATTCTCTCAAAGAAGTTCATGTTATAAAAAGATTATAAACTCCTGCCGTAAACATGAGAAAAAAGTCATCTACTGTTTTCCATATGTATGCAAATCAAACAGATTTTTTTTATCCTTACACAGATCCAGATGCATACTAGCCATATTTTGGATACTCCAAACCAGATCGTGCTTATTCATGGACACAGAAAAAGTAGAAATTCAAGCATTATTCCTTCTCATCTTTCATGCTAGGTTATCCTTGTGTTAGAATCATGGCTACCCTGTTTTATTTATCTTTAATTTAAAGGGTTCAAACACATGCAACTTCTCTGTCTACTTCCATCAAGCTCGATATGGCTTTAGAGGTAAGATAGCATTGGTAGCATTATGTGCAAGTCAAAACATCAGAGACTGCAGCAAACCCTAAAGATAGCAATTCTACTCCTTCCTACCTCTATCCAGATGCTCTAAGTTTTTCTCCTGGGTGTGATGATCTTCAATAGTGGATCAAAACACTGGCTAAAATAGAAGAAAGCCAGACGAATCTGACTTGGTTGAATGTCTCAAGACTCCAGCAACGAGCAGAAAGAATTGCATTAGAGGTTTTATATTGAAAGCCCTAGAGATATTTGACAAATAGTTTGAATAGCTCCTGGGATGCGAGTCTCTAATGCCAAAACTTTGGAGTCCTGTCCTATAAAACAGGCACAAAGTTTGCATCCCAAATCACAAATGAGTTTGTTTATTTTTGAGGTGTCCTTCTGTATTTTTAGATGATTTTGCTGCAAGAAAAATTAATAAGGCTATTGCTCTGGGAAGTTTACACCACGGGCTTCCTAGGTTTTGAAAGGAATGTTGATAATTGTAGAGAATATGTCTGCATACGAGATGATGATGATGGCCCTAGTACCTTCCACCACCCCCCAAAAAACTCAGAAACCATGGAAATGTCGCTCTGCTCTTATTTCCTTAAGAAAGTTCTCAGCCTACCGAGAAGTCTCACTATTGCTGACTTTACCTCCTGGTTCCTTAGTGTATAGATGAAGGGATTCAGCATTGGTATCACCACTGCATACAAGAGAGAGATAAATGTGCCTTTTTGGGCTGAGTAGGCAGAGGGAGGCTGGAAATAAAGGCAACTGATAGTGCTGTAGAACAAGATCACCACAGCCAGATGTGAGCCACAGGTGGAAACTGCTTTGTATTTCCCAGCGGTTGAGGGAATTTTTATGATTGTGGAGAATATTAGTGCATAAGAGACAATGATGGCAGCTAAAGGTCCCAGCAAATCCACCACCCCTTCTGTCTGTGCCAAGATTTTTATGAGTGTTGTATCAGAACAGGAGAATTCCAGGAAAGGATACATTTCACAGAAAAGATAGGGGATTTCCATAGAGGTGCAAAAAGAAATCTGTGATATCAAAATTGTGTACAGTAAAGAGTGGAGACCAGAAACGATCCAGGATCCAGAAACCAAAAATAAGCAGGACCTGTGGCTCATCACAGTGATGTAATGCAAAGGATGACAGACAGCGGCATAGCGGTCATAAGCCATGCAGGCAAGGAGGAAGTTATCTGTGTTACCAGAGGCGAGAAAGAAATACATCTGGGTCAAGCACTCATTGAAGGTGATGGTCTGAGACTGAGACATCAAATTTATCAGGATTTTGGGAACAGTAGCGGAAATAAAAATGATGTCAGCCAGGGAGAGGTGGCTTAGGAAGAAGTACATTGGGGACTGAAGGAGACAGTTGTCTAAGCGAATAAGCAAGACAATGAGAATATTCCCTAGAAGGGTCAACAAATAAATAGACAGAAAAAGCAGGAAGAAAAGTCTCTGATATTCAGGTCTACTGGAGATCATCAAAAGGGTTATTTCTGAGTTGTCTGTTTGGTTCTGGTTAGCCATTACACAGCTGAAAATGAATGAGAAAGAGATTAATACCTGATGTAATTAAACATTTCTCTTTGATCTTCTGGGGGAGGCTATAGATGTACTGTATATGATAATTTTATTTCTAATGTGGGTCTCAGCCTGGATGTTTTTACTTCTTTCCCTTTGGCCTTATTTACTTTTGGGTTGATATGGCAGTATTGCACACTGAAACACACATATACCAACTCATGCCTACAAATTTTAAGCTAGTACAATCTTACCTTTTACAGAATATATCTCAATTATCCACAAGATTCAAAGCACATCTTTGAATATAAATTACCCACTAACAACAATTCACTGAATTATAAATTGACAATTTCAGGAAATAAATTAAGGACCCTCTGAGTTTTAGATGTCAGCAACAGTTGAATTTTTTTGGGGGAAGGGGGATTTTGATCATACACCAGACTTTCTGCAAGGCAACCTAGCAGAATTGTTGAAAAGCCTGATCTAAAATCAACACAACTGGATCTACCTTTATTTGATGGTATTGTCATATTTATTTTTTCCTTTCCAACCTATCTAATAAGTCCTTTTCAATAAACCCAGTTTAGAGAGATGCTAACCACTTTCTATAAGTTAGTGTAATCAACTAATCTGTGTCAAGGAACCATACCCTGCCAGAGATTCATATCAGCAAACTTCAGCAGAAAAACAGATAAATTCTAATTATTGAGTTTACCTGAATTTCTTGGATCTGTAATAGTATCCCTTTTCTTGATATCCTTTTTAGAAATAGTATAATGTTTATTGATTTGTTAGTTGGAAAAGCATGCATCTATTACATATATAAGCTTAACATAGTAAATTATATTCATTTTCAATAAAAGAACATTTTTAAATATTTTCTACAACTTTTCATATTCCTTCTGAGCATTGTTACTGTTGTTGCTTTGATTTTAAAAATATGGATAAACATGCTGCACATGAATAAAATTTTGCTTGATTCCTTATTACATAATATTTAAAAGTACTTTTTTCCCAATAATGTAATATTGGATTCTTGTTTGCCCAGTTTAATTATACTGTTTAATGCCATTAATTTCCTAGTTTCAGTTTCTATTATTTCATTTCTCTAAGGAAATAATGTAATATAGGCAATCATTAATTTACGACGACAACCGGGAATGGAATTTCGATCATACTGTAAGTCATGATGGTCGTACATCAAGGCACTCACATGACTGGACTAGATTTAACAGCAGTTGTTAACTAAATCACACAGTCATAAGTCCAAATATATTCTCTTAAAAGGGCATTTTTTGCTGGAAACTGGCAAAAAAGTCACAAATTGCAGTCACATGACCATGGGATACTGCAATTCTAAATGTGAGGCCATTGCCAAGTGTCCCAAATGCCATCATGTGAATCTGGAGGAAGACATGTTGTGACATATTTTTGAAGGCCAGAATGCTTTACAGACTGTAAAGCATCATTTCCAAGGCCACTGTAACTTGGAATGGTCATTAAATGACCACTAGTGAATTGAGGACTATTTTTATTATATCATTTTAATCACAAAACCGGAATTTTCTGCTAGAATTTGTATCTCTGCAGAAGCTCAGCAAGTAAAATAAATCTTCCTTCCATTAACTGGGTGCTCCTTTATCTTTCCTTATATCAAAATCAGGATACAGGAAAAAAAAATGGATAGTAATAATGCAAAGCATGAGAAAAGTTTAAACTATCTTCCATGCTACTGTATACCCGATGTACAATATTTGTATACTATTATCCACTTCTATTAAAAGCTCCACCTCTATTTTTATAAAGAATTGTCCTTTGAGCTTTGAGGATTGCAATCAATAATTCTCTTCATGATTTAGGGAAATAATTCTTTTGACAAATTTCATATATTGTGATTAACAGAAGCTCTTTTGTTAACATTTATGGAACTCTGCATTGATCAGACCCACAATTTCCTCCATTTGTATTAGTCTATCTATATTGTCCCAAATGAATCTCTTCTGGCAACAGTTTCACTTATCTTTATGCCAAATTCTTTCTGATCTTTTATATATTTAACTTGGGAGTGGTATTTACATTATGATAAAAAATAACAAAGCTGTATTTACTGGAGATGAAACAGAAATGCCTGTCACTCCAGAGCTAGTATTAGGGTTCTTTCATCACTCACTATATTGAATATGAGTCTGCTGTTATGAATTTTTGTAAATAGATTCACAATATTTTTGTTTTAGATTTATCGATGAAATTATAGTCCAGTATTTCTACAAGGTCGCATTCTTTTATTCCCCCCCCCCCTTCAAATGCAGGATGGTTAATTTGTTACTTGGCTTACCTTGTATCTGTTTGAAAGTTGTTGCATTTCAGATTTAGTCTGAACAGATTTTTCCCTTTATAGTATTTTAAAACATCCCAATGTTTCATACATTGATTCCTAAAAATGCTTCCAATTTGTTCATGTCTGATAACAGAGGGTTTTTCCTGAAGCCAGTTTTGTTGGGTTTCTTTTACTGATTAAGAGCTGGAAATATTTGCTGCTAAAGCAATATTAAATTTTAACTGAGGGCCGTATAGGATCTCATTTACATTGAATAGAGTGAAATGTGATCTGGAATTATTATCATACCAGTATCTGTCAAAGATGATTTGTGCTGTAAAAGAGATGAAACAAATCTATCTATACATTTTATGGGCTTGTGTATCATAATCCATAAACCAAAAACCATAATCATAACCAATTTTTCATCCCATCCTTTCCTTAATTTCAATTCAATAATTCCTTAAGTTTACCATTTAGCTTATTCAATATATGCTTCTTGGGTACTTTTCACAGGTCTAGAATTCTAATTCACATCACCCTTCCCCCCCCCAATAATTTCATATTCTACAAAAAATTATTGTAAATCTGAAATGTATGTGATGCTTAGACCCATGGAAAAAATCCTTTAATAAAGATAAATCTTCCTTTTTATCACACAAATCTCCTCGCTTTTAGAGGCTGTACAGCTATAAAAGATAACCAAATAACCATGTTGGGACCCCATTTTACAGATATTTCCTTACCAGATTCAATGCCTTCAATAATGACAGAGCTTCTAATGTACTTGAAAAATTCTTAAAAATTCATGGAGATATTCAGAAATATTTCTACCTTGAAACTGCATTTATTCCCCAGGCCCTTCTCCACAAACTAGCCAGAACCCACACAGAGACACCTTTCCTTGAGGTGAAAGACTTGGGGGAGGGGGAAAGTATGAGCTTTCAGCTGCTGAATTGTTGTCTGCTGGACATTTCTGAAAAGGCATTTCTATGCGCCCATAGAAAGAAGGCACCCTTTCCCAAAAGCTACGTATTGTCCCTCCCTTAAAAGATGTGAGAGCGAATTGCGTGTTCTTCACCTCACTGCTCCTGCTTAAAAAGCATCAATGCATACTCAAACTCCAACTACGTTAATAAACTTAGTACAGTATGATATTAAATGGTTATTAATTTAATAAATTAACAATACATAATAAAACTATTATCTTTTAATATTTTGGTAACTGTTTAAGGGTAATAGTTTGAGGGTTTCCTTTGTAATATACAGGGCTTTTTTTGTTATAGAACACCCAGAACGGATAGGCAAGGCAGGTTGTATGGCGTGTGTGAGTTCCGGCACCTTTTTTTTTTTTTTACAAAAAAAGCACTGGATACACACACACACACACACACACACACACACACACACACGAAAGCTATTTTATACATTTAAATACATTTTTCTGAGAAAAGATACAAAGTATTCACCATTTTCTCGAAGAAGTCCATGTTATAAAAAGATTAAAAACTCCTGCCCTAAACATGAGAAAAAAAGTCATGTACTGTTTTCCATTATGTATGCAACTCAGATTTTTTTATCCTTTAGAAAGTTTAGATCCAGATGTGTACTAGCCATATTTTGGATTAACTGGTAATCCCAAACCAGATCATGCTTATTCATGGGCATAGAAAAAGTAGAAATTTGAGCATTATTCCTTCTCATCTTTCATGCTAGGTTATCCTTGTGTTTGAATGATAGCTACCCTGTTTTACTCATCTTTAGGTTAAAGGGTTCAAACACATGCATCTTCTCTATCTACTTCCATCAAGCTGGATATGGCTTTAGAGGTAAGGCAGCATTGGTAGCATTATATGCAAATCAAAACACCAGAGAATGCAGCAAACCTTAAAGACAGCAATTCTACTCCTGCCTACCTCTATCCAGATGCTCTTAGTTTTTCTCCCAGGTGTGATGATCTTCAATAGCGGATCAAAACACTGGCTAAAATAGAAGAAAGCCAGACGAATCTGACTTGGTTGAATGTCTCAAGACTCCAGCAACGAGCAGAAGGAATTGCATTAGAGGTTTTAAACCGAAAGCCCTAGAGATATTTGACAAATAGTCTGAATAGCTCCTGGGATGTGAGTCTCTAATGCCAAAACTTTGGAGTCCTGTCCTATAAAACAAGCACAAAGTTTGCATCCCAAATCACAAATGAGTTTGTTTATTTTTGAGATGATTTTGCTGCAAGAAAAATTAATAAGGCTATTGCTCTGGGAAGTTTATACCTTCCATCTCTGAATGGTGTCATATACTGAAATATACTAAGATGTAAGCCTCTCACCAGCTGTAATCCACATGGCAACTCTATTGGAAAGGAAAGAATTAAATGTATGTATAGGAAAAAACTTGGCTGAAAATGATAGATCAATACATGAGTCTGCCATGGCAAAAACCACAAGTTAACTACCAACTTGCAAATAATAATAATAATAATAATAATAGTAATAATAATAATAATAATAATAATAATAATAATAATAATAAACAACTAGTGTGTATGTGTGTGTGTATACACACACACACACACACAGCTCGAAAATAGCTATTCCAGTTCTCCCTTTATTCTTTGTTAGCAATCTAAAAAAAAAAATGTATGTATGTATGTATATATATATATATATATATATATATATATATATAGAGAGAGAGAGAGAGAGAGAGAGAGAGAGAGAGAGCTGGGAGTCCTTCTTATGCTGCCGGGTGACTTTGCGCTTGGCTCCTTGACTAGTTACCAGTCCATCCATTCGCAAAGTCACCCAGCAGCATAAGAAGTACTCCCAGCAATCTTGCATCATGCTCTGATGATGTCGGTAGTGTTGATTGACGAAAGGCTCAGCTTTTAATTAAACACTTTTGTTTTTAGTATTATCCTGGTGTTCGGATTATTTTATGGTATGGATTTACCCAGGATTTGCTCGGCTCCTGGCTGACTAGTTACAGTCCATCCATTCGCAAAGTCGCCCAGCAGCATAAGAAGTACTCCCAGCAATCTTGCATCATGCTCTGATGATGTCGGTAGTGTTGACCGACGAAAGGCTCAGCTTTTAATTAAACACTTTTGTTTTTAGTATTATCCTGGTGTTCGGATTATTTTATGGTATGGATTTACCCAGGATTCGCATTTTTAGAATAATTAGAGACTATATATATATGTTTTCTGAGGTTTTCGCGGGTATTTGTATATAGGTCTTTGGTTGTTCGGGTTTTCTCCCGCGTAAAATTGGAAGTGTCTTGGCAACGTTTTGATGAAGTCACATTCGTCATCTTCAGGCTGGTGTTTTTAGCTTCTTGCTTTGAGCAGCAATGTGTGGTCTTAGCTGTTTCTTCCTTTTAACTGCCAGTCGGGGTATGAACTGATTGGGTGGGAGCTTGGCTGTGTTCTGATTGGGTGGAGGTGTGTTCTGAATGGTTAGGGGCTTGGCTGTGCTCTGATTGGCTGGGGGAGTGTTCTGTTTGGTTGTGCTCAGGTTAGTCTGAGTTGCAGAGGGGTTTAAGATTTTGGGGTTAGGGAGTCGTTTGTCAAGAAGGGCAGGTTTCCAAATGGCTGGTAGGCGGGAGGTATCATCTCGCTTGTTCATGCTGTGTGGGCGTTTTCTATCTCGATGGCTTCTCTGATTATTCTGTTATTAAAATGTTCACTTTTGGCAATGGTTCTGGTATTTTTAAAGTCAATTTCATGTCCTGTGGCTTTAAGGTGTTGGACCAGGGAAGATGGTGGTTCCTCTTTTTTGACTGAGTTCTTATGTTCTTCAATGCGTGCACTTATTCTTCTGTTGGTTTGTCCGATGTATGTGGTGGGACAAGTGGTGCATGGGATTTCGTATACTCCTTGATTTTCTAATTCAATTTATCTTTGGGGTTTCTAAGGATGGTGGATATTTTTCTGTTTGTGCAGAATGCTGTTTTGATGTTGTGTTTATGGAGGATCTTACTGATTCTGTCTGTGGTGCCTTTTATGTATGGTAGGAGGGCTTTGCCGTTTTCTTGTTCTTTGTCTTGGATTTTAGTGGGGGTTTCTTTTTGGATTAGGTTTGTAATCTTATTTCTATGGAATCCATTGGATGTTAGTACATTGGTGAGAGTGTGTAGTTCGGTTTTTAGGTGTTGTTTGTCAGTTAAGCGTTTTGTTCTGGAGATGAGTGTCTTGGCTACAGAGTTGATCTGTGCTGGGTGGTGGTGTGAGAGAGCGTGCAGATAGCGGTTTGTGTGTGTTTTCTTCTGGTAGATGGTGTGTCCTAGGGAGCCATTGGATTTCTTGTAAACTAAGACATCCAGGAGGGGAAGTTGGTTGTTAGCTTCTGTTTCCATGGTGAACTGTATGTGTGTGTGTGTGTGTGTGTGTGTGTGTGTGTGTGTGTAAACGTATGTATTTTCTTTTATTATTGTTCTTTTCCTGAGCTATCTACCTTACTACTGAGCTTTTCCTATTTTTTAAAAAAATCAGATCATGAAGAACTGAAGAAATGTTGGAGCTTTCTTTATATTCATTTTAATTTGAACCTGATCAATGCAATAATAAGTAGTTCGCAGTCCTTGTTCACCTGGACTATTTGGAAGTGAGGTGAAATCTCCCTATCCAAAGTGACAACAAAAATAATGAAAGGGTACACCAGTGAACCATTATTTAAAGGCAGTAAAGTGGGTAACTCAGGGAAAAACAATAACAGCAATTTTAGAAAAAATATGATATTGTAATAGAAAGTTACAAAACTGACAAGAACAATGCATGGAAATGCCCCCTAATTTCCTTTAAAAAAATCCCTATTCTGTTCTAACTATAGTTCTTTCTGTATCCTGATTCTATGGGTTTTGGATGAATAGATTCAACACAAATGTCACTGGCCCAGACAAAGGTTGTTTGCGGGTTGAGTAAACAGAGGCAAGCTAGAAACCAATACTACCAAAGAACAAGATGACCAGAATCAAGTCAGAACCACAGAGGGGAAAGGCCGCCAGCTTCCTAGGTTTTAAAAGGAATGTTTATGATAATTGTAGAAAATATATCAACATAGGAGATAATGAAGACAGCTAAAGGCTAAAGGCCCTAGTATCCTTCACCTCCTACCCCCCCCCCCCCAAAAAAACAGCAACCATGGAAACATCACTCTGTTCTTATTTTCTTAAGAAAGTTCTCAGCCTACCGAGAAGTCTCACTATTGCTGACTTTACCTCCTGGTTCCTTAGTGTATAGATGAAGGGATTCAGCATTGGTATCACCACTGCATACAAGAGAGAGATAAATGTGCCTTTTTGGGCTGAGTAGGCAGAGGGAGGCTGGAAATAAAGACAACTGATAGTGCTGTAGAACAAGATCACCACAGCCAGATGTGAGCCACAGGTGGAAACTGCTTTGTATTTCCCAGCGGTTGAGGGAATTTTTATGATTGTGGAGAATATTAGTGCATAGGAGACAATGATGGCAACTAAAGGCCCCAGCAAATCCACCACCCCTTCCGTCTGTGCCAAGAACGTTATATGCCTTGTATTCGAACAGGAGAATTCCAGGAGAGGATAGACATCACAGAAAAGATAGGGGACTTCGACAGAGGTACAGAAAGAAAGGTGTGAAATCAAAAGTGTATAGAGTAAAGAATGGAGACCAGAAACGATCCAGGATCCAGAAACCAAAAATAGGCAGCACCTGCGGTTCATCACAGTGATGTAATGCAAAGGATGACAGACAGCCACGTAGCGGTCATAAGCCATGCAGGCAAGGTGGAAGTTATCTGTGTTACCAGAGGCGAGAAAGAAATACATCTGGGTCAAGCACTCATTGAAGGTGATGGTCTGAGTCTGAGACATCAAATTTATCAGGATTTTGGGAACAGTAGTGGAAACAAAAATGATGTCAGCCAAAGAGAGGTGGCTTAGGAAGAAGTACATTGGGGACTGAAGGAGATAGTTGTCTAAGCGGATAAGCAAGACAATGAGAATATTCCCTAGAAGGGTCAACAAATAAATAGACAGAAAAAGCAGGAAGAAAAGTCTCTGATATTCAGGTCTACTGGAGATCATCAAAAGGGTTATTTCTGAGTTGTCTGTTTGGTTCTGGTTAGCCATTACACAGCTGAAAATGAATGAGAAAGAGATTAATACCTGATATAATTAAACATTTCTCTTTGATCTTCTGGGGGAGGCTATAGATGTACTGTACATGATAATTTTATTTCTAATGTGGGTTTCAGCCTGGATGTTTTTATTTCTTTCCCTTTGGCCTTATTTACTTTTGGGTTGATATGGCAGTATTGCACACACACAGACACACACATATACAAAGCTACCATATTCTTCCTTTTACACAATATGTCTCAATTATCCACAAGATTCCAAACACATCTATGAATATAATTACCCAATAACAGTGATTCGCTGCATTATAAATTGACAATTTCAGCAAATAACAAAGAAGCTTCTTTCAAAATGTAAAAAACAAGAAAAAAGTTAAGAAAGTGATAGCTCCATTAATGGGAGAAAGTGGCAAGAAGGTGACAAGCAACTGGGAGAAAGCAGAACTACTCAACTTGTTTTTTTGCATCTGTATTTACACAAAGGGAAAAACAGTCCAACTTATCAAAAATAGTCCCATAAAAAACAGATTAGAAACACAAGTTAAGATAGGCAAGAAAATGGTAAGTGAGCAATGGTAAGTCCACCCTAGAAAAGTTCAAATCACCAGGACCAGATGGACTACACCCCAAGGTTCTCAAGGAACTGGCAGATGTGATCTCAGAACCACTGAACTATATCTTTCAAAGATCCTGGAGCACTGGGGAACTAGCAGAGGACTGGAAAAGAGCTGATGTAGTTCCCATCTTCAAAAAAAGGGGGGGAAATGGATCCAGAAAACTACAGACCTATCAGCCTGACCTCAATACCTGGGAAGATTCTGGAAAAGATAATCAAACAAATCAGCAAACACCTAAAGACAAACAAAGTCATTACCAAAAGCCAACATAGGTTTGTCAAAAACAGATCATGCCAGACAAATCTTATTGCATTCTTTGACCAGGTGACAAAATTAGTGGACCAGAGGAGTGCTGTGGATATAATTTACTTGGACTTCAGTAAGGCATTTGATAAAGCAGACCACAACCTACTACTTGATAAGATAGAAAAATGTGGTTAGAGAGCATCACCACCAGATGGATTTGTAGCTGGCTGACTGGCCATACTCAGCATGTAGTCCTCAATGGAACTGTATCTACATGGAGGAATGTGTGTAGTGGGGTACCAAAGGGCTATGTACTGGGCCCTGTACTCTTTAACATCTGCATCAATGATTTGGATGAGGGGATAGATGGAGAACTCATCAAATTTGCAGACAACACCAAGCTGACAGGAATAGCCAACACTCCAGAAGACAGGCTTAAGATACAGAAGGATCTTGACAGACTTGAAAATTGGGCGCTATCTAACAAAATGAAATTCAATGGTGAAAAAAGTAAGGTTCTACATTTAGGCAAGAAAAACCAAATGCACAGGTATAGTATAGGCGGTACCTTGCTCAATAGTAGTAACTGTGAGAGGGATCTTGGAGTCCTAGTGGACAATCACTTAAATATGAGCCAGCAGTGTGCTACAGCTGCCAAAAAATTCAACACAGTGCTAGGCTGCATTAACAGATGGATAGATTCAAGATTACATGAAGTATCTTGCAATGCCTTGGTAAGGCCACACTTGGAATACTGCATCCAGTTTTGGTCACCACGATGTAAAAAAGATGTTGAGACTCTGGAAAGATTGCAGAGAAGAACAACAAAGATGATCAGGGGACTGGAGGCTAAAACATATAAAGACTAGTTGCAAGAATTGGATATGTCTAGTTTAATGAAAAGAAGGAGTAGAGATGATATCACAGTGGTGTTCCAATATCTAAGGGCTTGCCAGAAAGAAGAGGGAGTCAATCTATTCTCCAAAGCACCTGAATGCAGGACAAGAAACAATGGAGAGAAACTAATCAAGGAGAGAAGCAACCTAGAACTAAGGAGAAATTTCCTTACAGTTAGAACAATTAATCAGTGGAACAACTTGCCTCCAGAATTTCTGAGTGCTCCAACACTGAATGTTTTTTAAAAAGAGTTATTATTGTTAGATAAAGATAACATAAATCAAATAGTTTAAGGACTGGCTCAACAGAGCTCAACACTTAAATACCCTCCTCCTCCTCCTCCTCCTCCTCCTCCTCCTCCTCCTCTTCTTCTTCTTCTTCTTCTTCTTCTTCTTCTTCTTCTTCTTCTTCTTCTTCTTCTTCTTCTTCTTCTTCTTCTTCTTCTTCTTCTTCTTCTTCTTTATTGTTGCTGTTGTTTTTGCTAACCTTGAATCATTCCTTGACTCTTGATGACTGCCTGCATAATTCCACAGAGTTTTTCAAGATTTTCAGAAGTGATTTGCCCTTGCACACTTCCAAGTGTTGAGAGACAGTAACCCAAGATCACAAGACTGGCTTCATGCCCAAGACAGATTAGAACTCATGGGCTCACAATTTCTGGCCTGATGCCTTTTAACCACCACAACAGACTGGCTCTTTTAAGTATTCTGATTATGGCCAGAAATGCAAATGACAATGAGGGTTACAGGAAGATAACAGCTATGTTAGTTGTATAACATAACTGATTTCAGAGTGCTCCTTGTCTCCCACCTGAGTGACAAACACAGTTTCCAAAATAGTTTGTTTCACATGTGGAACTTTGCTGCCCTCTTTTGCACCTGATCATCCTAAACAGAAAGGGTGAGAGATGGAAACCAAGCACTGTGTTATCTAAAGCGCATCCTATGTTGAAGGTAGAGATTAGAGTCTGTGACTAAAGCCATTGTTTATCAAGTTACTTTGTCTCTTAGTAGAGGCAACAATTTGGAATCTAAAAACCTCTTGGCTTGCAAAGGAATTGATGGGAATAGTAGAAATCATCCATCTAATTTTTAAAGTAAAAGAGCTGAGACTCACCTCATCAGTTCCCCTTCTGCATCTATGGGTGAATGATCTGTTTTAATCTAAACTGAAAATGAACTGAGATGATCTTGGTTTCTTTTTCCTTAGATTCCATAGGAACCTATTTCGAAGCTTTGCGAAAGAGAACAGGATCCCAAAGCAGATGGAACTGTAGTTTAAAAACAAACCAGGTATTTCTTTTATAGTTCTTATCTTTTGTGGTTTGACTGGAGATGAAGTTTCAATTCAATTGTTGGTTGATTTCCCTCCAAAAAAAGAAAGTTTTTTTTTCCCCAATCATTCCACAGTAGGGTTTGAGCACTACTGTGACATATTTTGGATTATAAGTATCTTGATAATAAAACAACTGTAAACATTTTATTGCTCCAGGGAATTGTCCACAGGAGTTTAGTCAATGGTGAATACAATTCTAAAGAGAACTTATTAACTAAATAATTGTTGATTTGCTATGACTTCATCAGTGACTATAATTTATGACTACATTTCAGGCAAAAGAGGAAGCAAGCATGTCTGCCCTCTTTTGAAGCTTAGGGACTGAAGAATGGATGTCAAGAGATTCGAAGAAACCCAACAGTTCCTCTTCGTTCTTTCTTTTTAATATATTTTTTTTAATTTTTTTAACAAGCATAAGTCACTCAATAATTGGTAAACAGTGTGTTGTCTGGGTTACATTTGTAAAAACACTCCTTAACAATTGATTTCTATAATCTGTATTCCATATATTAATTTTAATTGATTTCCTCTTTCCCAAAACATCCTTTTTTGCAAACATTAATACAATTCTTATTGTTTTAATAAATGACAATTAAGTATATAATTTTTCCAATATTCCTAAAAAAATAATCATCATGTTAGTATAATATTTCTTTTCTTTTCAGTCATTGATGAGTTGACTTATCTTCAATCCTCTAAGAACAGTTCCTCTTTCTAGTTTGCTGGCCATCATACATTTTTGACTCTGATGTCTGGAGCTTATGGCAGTTATAATCCAAATCATTCTTCCCCTGCTCTGGGCATCTTCTTAGGCTGTTACATAGTAGAACTGGCCCTCACCAAAGCTCTGAGAGCTTTGCTTATAAGGCTGCGGTTATTGTTTTGGACGGTGTGATTCCAATGAGAAGTTCTCTCTTAGGTATCTATAGACAACAGTAATCTATTCCATGCAGAAGTACTAATTATTTTAAATGAGCCAATAAATGTACTTATACTCTTGTTAAAACCAGATCTGATATGGGCCAAAAGAAGAAAAAAAACCATGACCATTATTTGCTTGAAATGGCAAATTTGTAGATGTAATTGTAGCAAACTTTTAATGTGGAGAAAAGCAAAGATTTATATTTAGGCAGGACACATCAAAGGTATAAGTACAGATTAGGTGAGACCTGTACAGTTCAAAAACTGTAACTGTGAGAGGGATCTTGGAGTCCTAGTGGACGATCATTTGAATATGAGCCAGCAGTGTGCAGCAGCAGCCAAAAAAGCTAATACAATCCTGGGTTGTATAAACAGAGGCACAGAATCAAGATCACGTGAAGTATTAGTACTGTTTTATAAAACCCTAGTAAACCAACACCTGGAATACTGCAACCAATTTTGGTCACCATACTACAAAAAAGATGTTGAGACTTTGAAAAAAGTTTGGAGAAGATGATCAAAGGCCTGGGGGACTAAAACTAAAACCCTAACCCTAAAAGGGCTGCAGGACATGGGTTTGGCTAGTCTAAAGAAAAGAAGAAATGGGGGTGATATGATAGCAGTATTCCAGTATTTGAGGGGCTGCCACAAAGAAGAGAGGGTCAAAATATTCTCCAAAACATCAGAGGGCAGGACAGGAAACAATGGTTGAAAACTAAACAAAGAGAGAAGCAGCCTGGAATTAAGGAGAAACTTCCTAATAGTGAGGATAATTAACCAGTGGAACAGCTTGACTTCAGAAATCATGGGAGCTCCATCCCGGGAGGTTTTTAGGAAGAGGCTAGACAGTCACTTGTCTGAAATGGTATAGGTTCTCCTGCTTGACCAGAGGGCTGGACTAGAAGACCTCCATGGTCCCTTCCAGCTTTATTCTATTCTATTCAATCCCTCTAACGCTACCCAAACAATCACTTTCTCTGATA